AATTGGAAGAGACGCACTGTATATTGATGACGTCACTCTGGATGGGTGTGTTCTGGAAATTACATTTTTTGTCAACAGAAGACGTAATAAAGATGGTTCATTCATTATCGATTCGATCAATAAATTATAATGTACCTTACCCACTTATAAGTATACTTTTTTGCAGCATTTTTTTGATACTCACTCGTAGATATCGATGACGTACGAGATCTCTAATTATATTAATTATCTATTTTTAGTCGAGAAAAAATTTGTAAAAGTTTGATGGCTTTAACGACTCTATTATTGCCTTCATCTTAGTTCAATTACTGGAAATAATACGAAACCGAAAATTAAATAGCTATAGACCCTTAATAGAGGTTCATTAGGCTCCGTTTGTTTTGCCAGCTTTTATTTTCTGTATTATTTAATGAAAAGAACAAATTGGGGCACAGAAAAAGAACGTTTTATTCATTAAGAAAATATTAATAAACTGATGCTAGAAAATTGCCCCGTAATTAAAAATATACGACGTAAAATGTAGACAGAATCGATAAACATACTAAAAAAACAAGAATAAATAACCTCGTTAACCGGGTAGATGCATTACGATAATACAAAATACGAATTAATTCGGGAATAGTCCAGTTTCTTGAAGTTAAAGCTTCTTGTAATAGCTAGTTATGTTCGCTCTTATATGAAATAACATTTTAACTTTCTTTTCAACATATAAATCTTTTGATTGAACTCTATTAAGTTTACCGTGGGTATTACAGGGTGTAACAAAAGGGTGAGTTGTTTTGGATAAAGGCTTAATTTTGACTCCAGAATGTGTGGTGTATAAAAATTTGAAACCCACCTTTTTGCTACACCCTGTATATTCAGATTTAAATACCTATGCTTCTTATTATTTCCGAATTACATCGCCATTTTAAAGCTAAAAAAATAGGAATTTTTGCATGAAAAACTGGACTCCCGTTTCGCCAAAGGGCTTCGGGCGAGAATAAAATATCTTGCTCTGTGTGAGTCATCAAAGTCATCATTCAAGAATCTCGACTCGATTTAAAAGCGACATACTGTGCCAACCGAAAAAAGTATACCACGTTAAATTTACGTTCTAAATCGTCCATAAGATAAGTTGGATGGATGGATTGCGTTAAAAATATTTTAAAACGCACATCCTCCAACAATGACATTGTTTCAGTAATGAATGGAGAAATTATTGTAAAAGTAGTCTTTTTGTACATTAATCATTCGTTTTTATTTAGATCTGTCAACTGAAAACGATAATGTTATATTCAAGGCGTAAATCACAACGGAGATAAAAATTAATTGTATCATTTTTAATATTCGATAGTGCAGCTGGTCAATTGAGTTTTGAAATGTATAATTATCGGCTTCTATTATAAAATATAGTCGCGGAGAAACATAATACAAATACGCTTTTCCCTTATTAACATATTAATTATTATGTTCAATTTGAAAATTTCAATTAATATTGCAACTTTTTTTTATTTATTCCAATAAGTACTTACCCATGTTATCTGCCTAGTTACAAAAAAGTCGCTTGTAATTCAGCAAATACGATAAATGTAGGTAATTATGTAATTTATAACATACATCGATCTTTACTTAGCGGTACCACTAAAAATTACAAGTTTAAATAATCGAATTAATACCATAACAAGTTTGTAATGAGAAGAACAAGTTTTTTTTTTAATTTAACCGGAGGAGCATCTCATACATACAAAATTAATGAAACAGGTATAACGACTGTCAGAACTTCGACGAAGAGGAGATTAAAATCGAAAAAAGTCTCAATATTTCTATTCTATCGGACGTAATAATGCTCTCTATAGTATCTAATTCATGGAAATCCTATCAGTTCAGTCAGACGTTTGTAGTTAAAAATCGGTGAAATATTTTTACCTAGAACTGTCTAGGTAAAACGAATCCTTTTCGCAAGGAATGAGTAATGTGCTCTACGAAATTCGCCGAATCAATTATCTCGTAGCTCATTTAAAAAAATATGATATTATCGCATCTATTTCGATTTATAAATAGATCTTAAATGAATTTTATATTAGATTATTAGTTATTAGAATACTATTTTCCAATCCACCGCATCCTTAATTATCCTATTGCAAATTAACTGAAGCTTTAGAACAATCTGATAACCGTTCAAAGTATATTTATAACTATACTATTGAATTAGAGAGTTACTAATTCGAAGATATTTTTTATACAACAACTATTTACTCTCAATGAAATGTCTTCGTGTGTAATTAAGCTAGAAATTGTTTCATTAGTGCTCAGTACATAAGCTGAGTAGTGGCGTACGTGTCGTTTCTCAGGGAACCCAGATCGCCCGTCGGGGTCCAGATGGTCCGTACAATTAAATTCCCTTGAACTGATTCCGTCTTACCGCCGCTCAACGTGCTAAGACAATAAATCAAAGGCGTCTCGTGTTAAAATTACCGTCTTCCCAGAAGTCATTTATAATTAGGTAGGCGAGCTTTTAGAACCTGTATTGCATATTTGAGCCAAATATTTCAATAAGTACGACAGAAAACCTAAAATAGTAACATTCCCAGAAATTATCCCCCCTTACGTGCGATATTTAAGAGCACTCTGAATATCTATTTAGTTGTTTTAAAATGTATTGTTGATGTTGGGCTTGTAAGATGTGAATTTCAAATTGATCATTCAAGAGTTGTGGAAGATGGTTGGACGCCCATGGTTGTCGAAGAAGTAGATTAGGATATAGTGAAAAATTAAATGCAGTCTGAAGCCTACTGCCCGACACGGTGTAGTAATTATAATGCGGGCTCGACTGTTATGCCATCATGGTATCTACGTGCAGAACTGCATATACATCTCTCGGTTTTTCGGCAGCTTTGAGCCGAAGAGATTTTGAAGAATTACGGCGGGGCTCAACTGCACGAAGGCGCGCTTGGTTTAATTTCTAAAAGCTAATCAATTTATTTGTATGCAATATCTTTACGTATTCCCTTTGATCTAAATATGTTTGTGAGTTCATTATTTTCTTGGATTTTTGCGAATACGATTCTGCTTTCCACCCTCCTACACCATCGAATACAACGCTTTTTGCTTCATTTGTGTTTCCTCAATTCAATTGTTATCAATTATTTTTGCTCTCGTCACTCCATGAAGCCCAATAAAATTTTATGTGCTGATGAGTTTGATGAACGGATGCAGACGTTCTCGTCGCTCCTTATTTCTATCTCTATTTTCTTGCCCTTATTATTCTAAGGGTTGCGCTCGTTACGGCTAATTGTAACGTAGGTATGCCCTATATGTGGAATTCATCTAAAATGTATGTTTACGTAGGTTATTTATAGAGTTTTCAATTCTATCAAAAATCGAAAAGGAATTTGTAAATTTGAACTTGTGATTTATAGAGGCTATAAAGTTGCCATTTTTGCTGAAATAAAGGAGAGAAAAATTAGATTATTGGAAAATTTTTGAGAAGTTTTTTGAAAAGAACTATTTTTTAATATTATAAAATTGTTTAGAGTAGATTTTGATAAACTCTCTACCGATCTTTGTTGTGTTTACTTGGATATTTGATGATATTGGAGTTTGAAAATGAACCGTTGAAATAGCATAAGACATTAATTAATCTGTACTATTATTAACCGTAATTAATAATGGTTGAGATTTCTTCCTGCAGTTTGCGGTAATAAATTATAAAAAAGAAGAAAGTGCCGGACAGGTGGATGCGCCCGAAGGGTACGTCTTGCATTTAAATTGGTTAAATTATAATTTTGCAACAAAGTTGCTTTTATCCATTCTTTTAACGCGCTTCTGTCACGCTATAAATCGCGAGATATTGATATATCGCAATTTTGTAATTTATCGACGATTTATTCCAGTTTCGGCAAATGAACTGGTTTAGAATGCGCATTGTGTTGCATTATATTGCTTTATTACTAGGAATATTTTCTCGATATTTATTCTTATTTATGCACCTACGTATGTTTTAGACATTAAATTTAGTTAGCACCTTGTAATGCTAGTTACTAAACAATTAATTTCAATTATTTGTTTCTTTAAATTCCAGGTGAGATTGTATCGTCGACCGATAGATAAATCTTCGTTTGGAAAACACCAATTAGAAGTTAACAGCACGAGTGAAAAAGAATCTACCGGAAAATGGGAAAAAAGATAGGGAGTAAAAATTTTGAAAATCAAGAGATTCTCCTGACTTTCCTTTTGATTCTTAATTACGTAATAATTAGAGTTTTCTGCGAGTCTTCTAAGCAAACTGTTCGAGAGAAAAAGAAAGTTCAAAAAAATTAAGAGAGTATATGGTATTAGGTATTTCAATTATTTTTTTAAGTGTTTCTATACAATAGAAATTATTTTTGCAGAATTGTTAGAGAAGTCTACAATCTACAGGTAAGTTTTTAGAATTTTCTATAATCTTAAGGTTAGTTAATGTCTTTAATTAGTTTAATGTCTTGGTTAATTTTTGTCTTATTATAACCCTCTACCTTACCTTATGAGCAGAACCGGATGATTCGGATGATGAGAGACCCTATGCCTTAGGCTTCCACTTAAGAGGATCTTATCTTTCTTATCTTTATAGATACGCTTTCAACTTTCTTTCCTAAGTCTGCAAATTACCCTATAGATAATAAAATATATCAAAAACGGTTTGAATATTAGGGCTCTATTAATGTTTAGGCCATAGGTTGAAGTCTAATTAGCATATAGGAAAATGTGGCCCTGTTAGTATATATTCCATCTATTCTTGATTTTTATTTGTATTTCTTTTAAACTCTCATTATTCATTTATTATTCTATCATCATTCTAGTTGTATTCTTTTACCTTAGTTACACCAAGTTACAACAATTACCTTCTGTAATTTCACATTTTATTATATTCGACATTGAAATACAGTACATTTAATAACAAAAAGGTAAAATATTCGATATTTACAGTAAAATATATTATTCGAAGACAAGGAATTGGATTAATATTCATATTTAGTTGCTCATTTCCTAAACGTCACTGCCGAGTCTTCGTAATCATTACTTAGGAGATGTTGTCGAACGTTCTTGTTCTCACCAAAATATCTGCAATAAATCAACAATTTATTAACAAAAATTCATTTGAAACTGAAACAAAATTTGTTAAAAAACACACGATATGGTGTATTTACTATAACTTACAAATTTTAGTTTTTTATAGCTTAATTAGTTAGTTTTGATGACTTTATTAAAAGGTTTAAGCAAGAAAATGTATTGGATGGAATTAGGAATATCAAAAATATTCAAATATTGCATTTTCCTGTATCTCTGTATTGCCATTCTCAATTTAATTTTCACTATTTGTACATTGTGTTCATTTATCAATATCTATTCCTATTGACACTAATAACATCCAAGTTTCATGTAATTTATTCTTCTATAGGTCATCTTTCTTATTTACTCTTCCGGATGCCGAAATACGTTTGTAGTAAATGCATATGGACCTCTTATTACTGCGGCCACTCAGTTAGACCAAACAATAATTTAATTGGAATGTAGATCATTTGCACTTTATCACGACAATTATAAATAATTATAATTTTCACGTTTGGAATGAATGTTTATGGCTCATAAAGTAATCGTTTAAAATTGATTACTGTTTGAATGAAAAATGTAAATAAATAGGTTTGTTCCACAAAAGATCAGACAGTTTGGTATCTTTGTTGAAGCAGAACTAATATGGTGATAATTTGTAAATATGTATAATTTATGGAAAATTATAATTTTTGGACTTTATTTAAAGTGTATTTTGGGGATATTCTTACTTACCTCTGATCAATGTCATTCGAGCGAAATATGTTTGATAATTCCATTAAATCTCAAATGGAATTGCCATTTACTGATTCATTAAATATAAAGTTCAAAGTATACCTTCTCCTGCAAATCTCTCCCTTGAAGATACATAAAGACTTCCACTAATTATTCTATCAAATCTTCGTAAAATTGGCCGCGTCTAAGTGAAGTAATGATTTATGGAAATTTTGGTATCGGGATGAAAAAGGTGCGCTGGAATTCTGAAAGGAAAATAAAAGGGATTTAAAGGAATGGTAAGGGATTTTTACATGTGTCCATGACAAATCTAAAACGGCTATAACTCGAGAAATTTTACTTCCTTACCTGTTCCCTAACAAGTTTTTACGTAACTTTTTTGTTTCGTAGTTATTTGAAAAGAATTGTTAATTTTATTTTTTTATGATGAGTGATTTTTTGTTATTAATAAGCTGATTTGTTTTAATATAATGTAAAGCAAAGAAGTAAAAATATGTTGTTATTTTTCATGTACTATGTAAAAATGAACCCAAATTTCATCCATATCGATTTTTTAAATTTCATTTAATTAGGTTAATTTGTTTAATTGAATAATCCTTAAGAATTTTATTATCGTGCGTTTTTTAACTACGAAATTAGCTGCTTTCAAAACCAAAAAGGATTAAAATAAGGGAAAACACAATCACAAACATTTAAAATAAAAAAAAAGAAAAACAAAATTACAGACATTATTAATGAAAACAATCAAAAATAAAAAATAAAAATTACATAAAAATAAAAAAGAAATGCAAGAACGGATATCGTTACTTACTAATCTTTTAGTTTTGTTTGTGGTTAAGAATTCTTTCACATACAGTTTTCTGGAATTGAATAAAATTTATTTGAGTATATTATAGCCCAGAAAATTAACGTTTTCGACATATGTCTTCATTGTTTGATAACCCGCCAAAACTAATATTTAAAATGGCAAATTTTACAAATTAAATTAAATAAACTTCGTAGATTTATAATTGTTAATTTGTCGATACGCAAATCGTTAATCATAATAACAAATATCACAGTAGAAGGTAACAAATTATTGATTTGTTGAATGAAAAAAAGCCCAGCAGGTGATTGATGAAATCAAAAAAACTTAATAAAACTAATATATCAAGATCATCAGTAACAAAACATCCTTTTGCACTTAATTAAAAATATTAGCATTATTCTAGTATTAAACCTATTTTTTGATACTAACTCTATTTATTGTTTCTTTATACGTGTGTTGTATGAGTTCATTAATAGATTGTTGAGTCTTAAAAAATTGGCAGTACTTGGATGATTCAGAATTAAAGTTACAAATACTTTCATACATTCGTAATACAAAATCAGTTACTTTAATTCTCAAGTAATTGTTCGTAATACTGGCCATAAATATATAGAATTTTTTGTTCTTTCGACTTAATAAATAATATGATTTGCATTTCAACGATGTAGGTTATCTCCGCCACCGAATGAATAAGATAAACGGTGCAAACAAGCCTCTCGCTCGTCTCGGCTCTATGTACAATGATTACCTCGACTAATCTCTACTTAGTCATTCTTTTATACCTTGAAAATTTAGAGGAGCTTCCCGTGATGTTATCGATATCGTCCAAACCCCTGTGAATCGATATGGAATCCAACGAATCGCTGTTCTTGATAGCCAAATACTCGGCCGTCTCCAATTTCTGCTTGGTCGGCTTCGACCACAGCTTGAGCAACAGGCTCGAACTCACCACCGATACCGAACTCAACGCCATGGCGGCGCTCGCCATCCACGGCGCCAGCATAAATCCTATCATACTAAACGCTCCGGCGGCTAAAGGTATACCTAAAAATCGCAAAATATATATTACACAGCGTCGAGGAAGCTACACCTTTTTCAGTTGTATTTCAGAAAGCGTTAATTGAATTTAAGAATAGTCACTTATATTTCGGAAAGTATCTGTTGTATTTCAGAATAGTCAATTTGATTTCAGAAATCATCAATTGAATTTCAGAATAGTCAATTGTATTTAAGAAATTATCATTTGTGTTTCGGAAAGTGTCAAAAGGATTTCAGAGTCCCATTTGGAATGCAGAAATCATATATGATAATTATTATTACAATTATTAACGAAGAAGAAAAACTCAATTTATATTATTTTTTCGGACTTGAAACAACTTCTCTCCGGAATTTAAATTATTTTTTCCTGAAATCGAAATTATTCTTCTGGAACTGATACCTTTATAATTTTTTCTGAAATTGAGATTGAAAAGCTACAGATATTGAAGAATTCTGAAATACAAATGATGATTTCTGAAATGAATTTGACTATTTTGAAATTCAAACGATCGTTTCCGAAATCGAACTGACTATTCTGAAATACAACTGATGGTTTTTGAAATCGAAATGATATTTCTGAAATACAATTGATACTTTCCGAAATATAAGTGACTATTCAGAAATTCAATTGACGCATTCTAAAATGAACCTGCCGCTTTCTGAAATACAGTTGGAAATGGTGTGGTGCAAATACTTACCTAAAATATTATATACGCTGGCGAAGAAAAAATTTAGTCTAATTCTATTAACAGTCTTTCTCGATAGCTCCAAGCACGCCACCACGTCGAGGAGATCGTTGCGCATAAGTACGACGTGGGCCGCCTCGACGGCGACGTCGGTGCCCGACGCTATCGCCATTCCCACGTCGGCCTGCGCCAATGCCGGGGAATCGTTGATGCCGTCGCCCACCATGCACACTTTAATGCCCTTCGCTTGCAATCTAAAAACAAAGCACTTCTCAATTTGTGTTCAACAGTGCATCGTTGTTACTGCAAAAACTTACTGTATAAATATCATACGGGGTGGAAACGCCAAATGGAATAATTTCATTATATCGGTTAGTGAACATATTTATAGAAAATCCCGAAACACGACAAATTTTCATTAGAATTTGACATTTCTCAACGTCAAAATGTGAGCCCTATCTTCAACCTCCTTCGAAGGACAGTCACAACCCCGATTTTTTTAAATAAGAAGTATATCGTATATCGTTTGAAAGGTCTCTTTATTCTCTATCCAAAACTGTTATTATTTTCAAGGTTTTTTTCAAAGATTAACACAAAAATAAATTCATCCTCGAAATCATTTGATGGCTTAAATTCGATATAATACACTCTGTATGTAATACCTATTTGTTCACAATGTAAAAAAATATGAATCTCCTCACCAAAACTGTTAATTTATGCATTTCTGTTAATCTAACAATTTTTCTTAATTGCAATTAACGAAATAAAAATAAAAATTATAACACTGACAACTACTCTCACGCAGTTATAGTTACAAACCAAGTGGCTAAGGCCTTTTAAACAAACTAGTATTATTATTAACGCTAAAACGGGATATAAGATTTTATTTTTTTAATGTTATTTTTTTAAATAAACTAGAAAACAATAACATTTTTGGATAGAGAATGATCTTTCAAACGATATATCAGAAGCCTTTACTTACCCTTTAAAAAACATAAGGATTGTAACTGTCATTCAAATCTATTAGTTGAACAAAGGAAGATTATCAAAATAACAGTGGTTAGAGTGAGAAAGTTACAATCCCACAATAACACTCTTACTTTTTCCTTTATGTGATGAATGCAACTTGTCTTTGTTGCACCCACAGCCTAAATTGCAAACTTAATATTTAAATGGAACACAAAAATAAACAATATTTTTAAAATCTACGTGAAATTTTTGAATACTGTTTTGTATAAAATACTCTCATACAATATACTTCTTGATTTATTAATTCTTTTATAAAAATGTGGCTGATGCAAACCCTTGAGTCCCTCAAGTTTGATAGTTAACAGTTAAGCTCTATGTGACACACTGGTACAAGATTCTAATTGTTGATACAACGTACCTTTGTACTCGAATAACTTTGTGCGAGGGAAGTACTTCGGCGAAGATTTTGGTGATTCCCACTTGTCTAGCTATACTGGCGGCGGTTTTCCTATTGTCGCCTGTCAATAGAATCACTTCAAGACCCATTTTTTTCAAAGTATAAACGGCCAAATGCGCTTCAGGTTTAACGGTATCCGCAACACTAAGCATCGCTACGATACTACCTAAAAATTATAAAAAAAAAATAATAGATTATAAGGGAGTTTAGCCTGGCGAGTAGTACCGTTTATAGCGCAAAGTACGGCAGATCTACCCTGCTCCTCCTCGCTGATCATATTCCTATCGATCTCCGGCGCTATGATAAATCCGTTCCTGTTCATCCATTCCCTGTTGCCCACGATCACCTCGTACACACCGCTCTCGTTCTCCAACGAAGAACTGACGCCGATCAGTTGCCCCAATTTGATGTTCTGCGAATGGCTGACCTCGATTTGCACGCCTTTCACGGTGAACAATCCGGAACTGCCGGCTTGGACCAAGTTAATGAAATTCGTCAGTTCGTTACTCTTCTCGGACAACTTCAGCACTTCCGATAGATCCGAAATCGTACATTTCATGCCGCAACCAGGCACCGCCTAAAATCGTGAAATTAATACACGTAATACGTACGTTGTTTGCAAGCAACTAACCTGAAAGTTAGTCGATTTTCCCATCACTTCGGTCCCCAAAGCGCTCCGGACGTATTTGATAATCGCCGCGGCGATGGGATGTTCCGAATTCGATTCGGCGGTACCGACCGCCGCCAAAATCACAGCGGGACTGAGACTGTCGCCTTGTATCCACACCCTAGCGACCTCCAAAGTGCCTTTGGTGATCGTTCCGGTTTTATCGAACATTATAGCCTTGACTTTGTGCGCGTTCTCCAGCGGCTCGGCGCCTTTGATGAGTATGCCGTTCACCGCCCCGACGCCCGTTCCCACCATCACCGCCGTCGGCGTGGCCAGTCCCAGGGCGCAGGGGCAGGCTATAGCGAGCACGCTCAGGGCGCAGCGGAACACGAACTGCAGGATGACCTCGGTGTCGGTGAAGCCGGCCCTCTCGGATTTGTTCAACGGCAAGTTGTCGATGTTCAAAAAGCCGACGATCGACCAGATGACCAGCGTGAGGAAGGCCAGCAGCACCACGGTGGGTACGAAGTAACCGGCTATCTTGTCGGCGAGCTGTTGTATCGGCGCTTTGGACGTTTGGGCCTCTTCGACGAGCTTGACGATTTGGGAGAGGGTCGTGGCTTCGCCGGTGTGGGTCGCCTCGACTATCAGCAGACCGTGTTGGTTGATCGAACCGCCGATCACCGTGCTGCCTATTTTCTTAGGCACCGGCATACTTTCGCCCGTGATGAGACTCTCGTCGCACATGGATTGGCCCTGAAATTGCGCGATGGATTAAAAATAATAAACGTGAGAATAAATCGGAGCGAATGTACGTACTTGTATCACTTTACCGTCGACCGGTACTTTTGCGCCGGGTACTACTTTGAGCTTGTCGCCTCGTTGCACCAAATCGACGTTTACTTGTTCCTCGGACATTATTTCTCCATTTTTACCAACGGTTATGATCACAGCCTCTGTAGCTTTTAATGACAGTAGCCTAATTGGAAATTTACATAACATCTTTCAATACCTTTTCCGAGTTATAATTCTCTGGACAGATGCCATTAATGTATGCAGTATGTCTGAAAAAGTTGGCTGAAGATGGGAAACTTTTTTATTTGTAATTTTACGAAATAAAAGTTATTCTTTATGAAAATCTCTGCTTTCAAAAATAAAAATAATGTGTCCACAAATTGCAAAAGATTAATAGAAATATTTTGACCACTTCAAATTCAAATTAAATTTTGCAAATTTTAGTTGTGAAACACGTCAACTTTTATCTTATTTAACAAGTCAATTACACCTCAAATGTTCATTTGTTGTTTGAACTATTTTAGCAATGAACTTAATTCAATAATAAATAAGTAGTACCCGACAGAATAATGTATTTTCTACTGTAATACACAAAAATAAACGAAATAATTTAAAATCTAGGTGTCTCTGACAATGACATTTCTCTTACCGAAAGTCAGTCTAGTAAAAGTAGCTTTCGAGAAATAAATAATACTTTCCATCTAGTTAGTGTGCATTGTCATGCATTGAAATTGAAATGTAATTGTAACTAATGTAATCAAAATTGAAAACGTCAGTAATTGTACTTCAAGAAGTAGCAAAAATGCATATTAAAACATAGTTTTCTATTTCGAACAACATTTCATAATTAAAGTTTTCGATATTGTAAAAAAGTACTTTACTCTTGTATCAAATTCATATTTTTTGACAAACGTCGTTTACGATTTAAAAACTTGACATCTGACATTTGCGTTTTACTTTATTGGCCATGCAGACCTTTTTATAAAGAATAACTTTTTTTCGTAACATTACAAATAAGTTTCCCATATGTTGCCAACTTTTTTAGACATAATGTATGTCTAGTTTAATAAATTTTCTAGAACTGTAAGTTACTATCCAAATTCTGAAATTGACCAAATTTCTTCGGTAAGTAATTATTTGGTAACTCTTCTACCATCTTGTGGATCTCCACGAGAGTAACCTTATAGTACTGAACTCAATTTTGAAAAATACTGTTACGGCATCAATCCACAGAATTATCTACAATAAACATCGCACCCTACCTGCTCAAAGCTTCCGACGTCTTCCCTTTAGCTATGTGCTCCAACCACCGTCCCAAACTGATGAAGACCAGTAACATGGGCGGCGTATCAAAGAACGTTTGCGGAGACGTTTTCTGTTGCAGCGCCATCGCCGCCACCACCACGCACACGCTGTAAGTATAGGAAATTGATGTCGCCATCGCTATGAGCACGTCCATGTTCGTCGTGCCGTGCTTCAAGGCTTTGTAGGCCTGGACGAAGAAGTGCCGCCCGCCGAATATCAAGACGGGTGTGGATAGAGACCACAAAATTAAGTTTTCCATCGAAAGACCTAAAAAAATTGGTTTAAAAGCGGTTTAAGGTTTGTTTGTTTTACTTAATATCGTTGCTTCAGAAGTGTCATGAGGCTACTGTAAAATTTTGTATACTATTTTATCAATTGATATAACTTAAAAGTTGCTGTAATAAACCACAATGACTTATTTAGATCCCTTTTTTAACTCTCATCTATCGTTTAAAGAATCTCTTTAACGGAAACAATAGTCCATATTTATAAAAATGAAGCAGTTACTTTGAAGTAAAAGGTAGAGGTAAAAAATAAGAGAAAGAGATTCTAAATCCTTATACAAATATTTTAAAACCATAAAACCTTTCGTTTCAAAGCAACAGCAGGGTCCTCAAAGCAAAACCTCTCTTCCTTCTCTTCTTTTTACTCGTATACCTTGAAGCAATAGGTTGTGCGTCTTTTTATAAATTCGGCCTAATGTTCATATTTACTCCATCACAACAATCTACAACTGTCCAGTGGACGAATCTACCAAGACTCAATTATCATTCTATTATTCTATCGAACTTATTTCCTTTTGCTTCTGTTAAATTAATTTTTTTTGTAGTTGTGTTATACTTCCTGAGCAGCAATATAGCTATCGAAATAGTGTCATGTCTATTTACGTACCGGGTATTACACAGCACATATCTTCGTGTGACATGGTAGACATTTGCACCATAAAATACATCATGGCTATCATACAAGGCCCACCGAAGGCTAACGAAAATATGAAGCTTCTCCTCCATTTCCTGATCTCCTCCTTATGCTGCAAATAATCATCGCTGCCGTTCTCTCTATTGAACAATTGAGCCTCGTAGCCCAATTTCTTTATAGCGTCGATTATGTACCTGCAAATTATTCATCGTTTTAGATGAGCATTCAAACGAAGGCAACAAGATCTCTACCTGGGTCCGGTGATTTCCGGATCGTACTTAAACTTGCCGCGATGGGTCGTCAGAGCCACTTGCGCCGATTTGACGCCCGGCAATTTCAGAATGTTCGTTTCCACTTTGTGCACGCAACTGGAACAAGTCATGCCGACGATTTCCACGTCCACCTCCGATTCCACGATGCCCGATTGTTGGATAACAGTCGTGGGAAACCCTAAGTCGGTGATGGAAGCCGCTATGTCCTCGGGCGTCGTCATCGACGGGTCGAATTGGATTTCCGCCCGAGCGCCCAGCAGGGATACCAGGATTTTGTGGCAACCTACAAAAAATTAGAGAGCCATCAAAAGTGATCCAACCATCCACGATTCTTGCTGGAACAAACTTGGTATTTTTGCGTCGATACATACCTGGTAATTTGTGGACGTGTTTCTCAATGGCGGCGACGCACGATCCGCAGGTCATCCCTTTGACTTGCAGGAAACATTTCTGTAGGTTCAAGGCGGGTTCTTCGTCGTTGTCGCCGCTGGTGGAAGGGCCGTTGGATGTGTTGTTGTTGCGCATTTGCTTCTGCAGGACGTCCTTACCGTTCACCGTTTTCACGTAGGCCTCGAAGCCCATATCTTCGATTTGCTCGGCGATTTGTTCGGGCGTTATTTTGCCGGATTTGAATTCCACGTAACCCTCTTGGCTTTTCAGATCGACTTTGATTTTTTCTACGCCCTCTTTCGTCGATAGCATACCTAGGAATAGGTGAATTATGTTTCGATTTTAACGCCCGGTTGACGAATTTTATTTACCTTCGATACTTTGTACGCACGAATTACACGTCATGCCTTTTATATCGATGTAACAACTGCTAATTTCGTCTTTGGGAAGAGATAGCAGTGGCAAGGATGCTTCGAATCCCATGTCTTCTATGTAGTCGCATATTCCTTGTGGGTTTATTATCTTCGGATCGTAATGTACCAAACCGTATTTTTCTTGTAAATTTACCTTTAATTTAAACGAAAATTACCTACCACACCGCTCGATAGTTACGAATTTAATGTACTCACGTTTATACTGAGAATGCCGGGTTTCTTCCCGACGGTTCCTTCGATGTTCCTCACGCAGGACATGCACGTCATGCCGATGATGTTGACTCGGAGCGCGCCATCGTCATCGGACTCCGGTTCGACCACGGCGGTGGAGAATTCGCCGGCCGGCGACGGGGAATAGGTGGTCACCAATTCATTGTCCGCCTTTTGGCTCAACAGCGGTTCGAAACCCAAGGTGTCCGAGGTATTCCTGCAGAAAAACGTGGCTTTACTAATTTTCGAAAAATTGCCAATTTTTTTTTGCTAATTATCGTATAATACTTGAGATTTTCGAAACGGTTATTTGTTAAAAATATTTAGCGCAGTAAGCAATTAATTAACTTTTATGGGTCAATTTTTGTGTACAGATCCGTTGAACTTCGACTTCTCTAATTTGATTAATTGTTGCTATTCCGTTAATTTGATCAAATTGTTTATAAACAAATGTGTCACATATAATTCTTTTTCTAATTGCGCGTTAATATTAAAACGTTCTTTTGTGAGACTTCTTACATCTTATCTAATTATAACATCAGAAATCTGCTAATAAATTGAATTAGGTGAATTAATTAGAAAAATAAGTGGATATTTCTCAGAATAATAAAAAATATATGATAATAACTGTTAATCTATACATACATTAATCCTACTCTAAATAATAATATTTATTGCTAAGTTAATAATGGCACCAATAATTATCTACTATCTCAGGTTGTTATTTATTAAATGAAAATATGAAAAATAGTCGAATCCAAATAGAAATATTAAAATAACAAATTTCAATATGTCTGCCATATTAAAACGAGATAATAAAATACTTGTGTTCGCCTACAGGCATTTCTAATACAGATATTAACGAATATGAACTTGTAAGCACAATAAAATACCTTTCCTCTTCTTCATCGAGAAGTAATGGCTTCCTATCCTCTTTATAAGACATTTTTTAAAGCAAAATGTCGCATAAAAAATCGAATTAGTTTCTCTCCGTGTTTCTATAAAACGTGGATAAAATAGGGATAATGACACCCAACGATAAGGCCTGATAATGGTCTTAACACTTCACTCTCAATATCTCATCCTACGAACTGATAGAGAACAGAATCGAATTGAATTGATGTAACGACTAAAATCGCTTTTCCCCACCTTATCAAATAATATTAATAAAGATTAACCAAGTATAAACAAATAGATAGGGCGATCAAAACAGTATTCGAGTTATCACGTGGAATTGCCAACTAATTCTTCGCTAATCTAAATTAGTTCTGTAAATTATTTAATTGGCAATGATGGCGTGAACATACACCTAGTACAACCACAAACAGGTAAAAATTATAGCAATAATTCATTGTTTAATATAGCTTAAATTAAGTTTATAGCGCTTTAAAAGTACCCTAATCTTGTTTAAATGAAATTACCTCATGCAAAAAAATTCCATGTTTGAAAAGTTTCTAATACAATTATCACAATACCAATCACCAATTATTTGGATTAGGCTTGGTTAAAATAAAAAATAATTGTGGCATTATTAAATGGAACTGGACATGATAAAATATAATAATATTCCTAGTTTCCGTATGCCACAGACAGTCAATATCGATCAATATTTCTGTTTACTTGGTTACACATGGTGAAAACTCCGAGATAAACTGTTGAGAAAGGGAATTGTCAATAGGCAGTGAATACGAGGAATACAAAGTGTGCATTCAGTGCATACAAGTTCAATAACTCTTTGATTAGCATTCCCAGTAAACTTTTTAAATTCATTGCCAACACGTCAATTAATTAATAGATAATTAATTAGAGGTTTTCACTACCAAGATTCTAGTGCAAGAGAGAGGTGCTTTTATTAAAAATTGTAGGCATTCTTGGTATTCTTACAGTAAAACGCGGAATGCGAGTTTATTGCGTAAAAAGGGCGACCGCGTGGGAATTTTTAATAAAACCCGAAGTTCGCCCACTCGTATTACTTAATAACGTCAAAACCCTCGACACCCCGCTCGAATAGCGCTTCAAGGTTGAAATAAATTGCCTGGATATCTGGCTGCTTTTATCATCGATTACATCCCATACATATTTGCACAAGATCACTGTATTGATCATAAATGTGGCAAGATACAGGTCTATGCAAGAAACAAAATAATTATGAATCATTATAAAACACCTTCTAATTAGTACCTACTAGTTATAAATACATAATATAAACTAGTTGTTACGAAGCGATATTATGTCATATTGAGTAGTAATTAATAATAAAAATATTCGCAAAAATCATCACGTAGACTTATTTAATGGCATTGACCTTTTCCTCTTTTCACATGCACTATAAAAATATATATTAATAAATACTGCTTATATTAATTACATTCATTAAAACGCTTGCATTCATTAACCATATTGTTGTTTGTTCCTATTAAATACATAGACCTAGTATGATTATTGCAAACATTTCCAATTAAATCGTCTAGTTATTACAAACACTGCTTGATAATTCCAGAAAACAATGATAAAAGCGTGTAGTCAATTAATCGAAACTCAGCGAATTTATTATATTCTGAATATTTAGGAAAATAACGGCTAGTAAGAAAAATTAAATCAAACGTAGAGGGTTTTGAAACTCACCTGTATCCTTGGAAAATTGATTTAAATCGAACAGAAAACATATTCGGTGCAATCCTTGCCATCAAAATTTTTTGACGAAAAACTTAGTGGTTTACTTTAAAAAGTAATTCCTGTTGCAAAGGATATTTGAAATTTGAATTACAAATGATATTCCTAATTACGACATTGTATCGTAGAAAACTCAAAAAGTTAATAAGTAGGTATTGTAAATAATTAACTGTGTTAATAAACCGTTACATTTCAAGCTTAAAAGAAATTAATCCTGAGAAACATTTCTAACTAAAAAATCTGGTAACCATACAACCTTATTAAACTGAATTTTACAGACACTATATGGTAAACTTCAAAACCTACTACACTAAGTTAAAGGCGTTTTTCCAAATTTACCTCAACGCTAATAATCTTTATCAGTACATTTATCTATAATGGAAATACGTACTTAGTTATAATCCTGCAAGGAACTTTAAATTAAAGGATTACTTACTAATATCCCTCAAATAAAAAAAAAAACTGAATTTTCCGAAAATATATTTAGCTCGCACACTTTCTCAACTGACAAACAATACTACACATACATGATTTTGATATTTATTACGAACAAACATATTGGTTATGATTACAATAACCACAGAGAAACCTTCATAAGGGTATTGTTGAAGATTATATTTATACGAAAAATGAAAACAAAATTTACTGTGGACGTTTCTAGGATTCATATAAATATGGATTGTACAGTAACATTTGAATAAGAAGTAATGCACCGATTTTACGTGCACATTCAAGTGAAATTATATTGGCAAAATATTCTAATCGTGCTCACTGCGAATTAATAAGAAATGCCAGATTAAATTTTCTGAAAATCATACGGTTTTTTTAATCGAAAAGAAAGTATTTATAATAGATATTTAGGATTTTTCACGATCTATAGTTTTAACGAATCCTTTTACGAAAACATTTTAATTATTTTTCCGATATGAAAAAATTGCGCCAAACACTTTTTTCTACAACACATTGTTGTTTATAAGTGTAGGTAATGAAGAAGGGAGGTCAAATTGTTATAATTTCATAGATAAAAAAAATGAACGCATTTTAACTGTGCAATAGCACAAAACCTCCATCAGTGCAATGATATGTTAAAATACATATTCGTATAGTTAGAACCAATTTGATAAGGAAAATATTGCTAGTTCATTGTATTAGGCGATAAATATTGTCGGTATTATCTCATTGTTAGGACGAAAAATTGGCTATTTTGAAAAGTATTGTAATAATTTAAATAAATAGTCTTCTACTTTTTAACAAACCTAATTATATTACTTACTTATTGAGATTGTTCCTGGCGAAAAAGAACATATCTTTACTCCTCCACCATGCGCAAACAAAATAAGTATATCAAATACACACTATTAACAATTTTAAAATGTTTCACCAAACACGCATCAAATTTTCCGCGATATTTTCCACGAAACGTGCACTTTTCCTTTTAGCGAAAGTAAGAACTACCGGCGACCTCGTTTAACTAGATACTAACTACAAGTTTCCAACGAAAGTCAATGTAAAATCTAACTGTACAACTAGAACTAGAATGCGGTGACTTTGAAATAAGCCAAAATCATGCACAAGATTTCGATTCGGAGATAAATTCGAAAGAACTGAACCAACAACGATCCGAGGTTGGATTCGAATTGATCTCTTTTTCCGCTTGACGTCCAATTGCGGGGAACTCCTACACGGACCGAAAAAACAACTATATCACACGGGTTTTCCCAATAAAGAAATGAAATCGCGAATTTTTACAAACAAATAACACGAGTTTTCGAATAATTCTTACATCACCTTAATGAGTTATAAATTAAAATAAAAAAACAAACTTACGATTTGTAGTTGGTCAGTTCGATTTCCGCCAGGCCTGGCATTGTTGTGTGTTGGATTTCAACTCTCATGTTTAATCGTGCAATTAAACCGACTGTAAGATTAACTTACAAATGTAAATGCGACTATTAAAAAACCCGTGTTGTTGTTAATTAATACTTATCGTTTGTGATTCATTTTCTGGCATTACTAGTTATTATTTATCTGATGGACGTGTGAAAAATAAATATTATCTAAAATATGAGAAACGCTGTCAAAACAGCTCCTACAAAGCGACGTTTTCTTCCCAAATTGGAACACCATCAGTGAATTAATGCTGCTTTCATAATGTACAGGGTGATGTTTAAGAATACTCATGAGAAAAGTAAGATCTTTGTTCATAATGTTATTCGAATATTATAAGTAACATTCTATATTTCTTTTATGTTTGGAGTAAACAAAGAAGTATATGAAGAAGTAAACAATCTTCCGGTACTGTCACACCCAGATAAGGTCTGAATATCTCCTCTCATTATAGTAAAACTGAACTTTAATGTTATTGAACATCTTAGATAAATTTCACCCTGTTTACGATATTTAATAAACGATTGGTAGTGAATAAATATGAACGATAATAAAATTAAATGATACTTCAATAGTAAAGATACTAGTACAAACGTTTATAGAAAGATTTGCACAAAAACATTCATTTTTCGCCCGAATTGAATTTAAGGAATTGCATGAATAAATCACAAGTGCATGCGAGAAATAAATACATACCAATAAATTTGTAATCGTTTCTTCAATAAATGAAAAATTAGGTGTTCGTCAATTTAAGGTTAATTAATGTTTAATAATCATTTTATATTACAAAGATAACTCACCGCTCATTTATCAATTACAATTTCTCGATTCTCTATCACAGATTATTTTAAATTTGATGATAACACAAGTGCGTTCCTCGCCTTAGAAATTTCAACAAATAAGGGTCGAGTAACTGAACAAGACAGTTTTATATCGACGGTTAAAAATCAAACTTACTGTTTAAGGGAAGCCAATTCCAACAACGCCTTGTAACTGAACATAATTGCCCACATTATAAGTCGAAACGGTTAGTAAAAATATTCAAAACCATTTCACTGTTGGTCATCGCATGTCGACAACGGGCCTTTCGGGCGGGCCGAGATCAACGGCGACAAACGTTTGAAAAATGCGCGATTTTTTATGCACCCAACGTGGAGAACCCATTCCAGATAAAGATGATGTTCATACAGGGAGATGCTCACGATCGTAAACAAAACGAAACGCCACAATGTTTTATTAAATATTCAATAATTAGGAAAGTTTATGATTAACAAAAATATTATGTTTTAGCTCTAAAATTGTTCATTTTTATATTAAAATTTTATCAGATGAAGTATTCTCTCTTCGTTCATAATAAGTCAAAGTGTAATAAAATATTGAAGAATAAAACGAGATATTAAAAATATATAAAATATAAGAAGGAACAAACTAAAATTAAGCAATAGGGTAAGTAGGAATCGCTCTCTATAAAAAAATTACAGAACCGCGTGGTTTTAAGCTTAAGTCTGTTGCGTAATCACTATTCGAGTAAAAAATTCTTCGGGGAAAATTATCTTAACTCCATATGTTTTAATTATAGGTCACGAATTAAATAATAGGCACGTTAATGCAATTATTACGAGTGCGTTTTGAATCGCTAAGAATTTCGATTTGATAGAATGCATTTGTGGTTAAAATTGATTCGAGTTTTTTTTTATAGCGAAAAATGAGTTTAGATATGATTCTGGGGAAGTTATCGTTACTGGTTTTCGTTAATCGCAGATGGTACAATTAACTTATTGAATCTTCATCATACCATCACAATTTTAAAATGATAAATCTATTAAAATATAATCTAATAATGTACGTTACCAAAACAGGAAAATATCCACGCACTTTTCAAAAAACATAGTCATTTTAACAAAATTATATTGCAAAGTTTAAGCAGTAAGAGGTAAATTATTAATAAGAAACTTAACAATCTAACGCGTAGGAAATGATTAAGCGCAAAAAATATTTAGTGAAAATAAATTAACATTATATGATTATGCCTCGAAAAATTGCAAAAAATTAATCCAAATATCTAAATATTTTGTTCATGGCAGATATTTAAATGTAAAAAAAATATTGGATCATACTATTACTATGCCGTTATTTAAGAGAAATATTTTCTATTTGCAATTAACAAATAATAGTTAAAAATATTTCCCTTCATAATTGTAAACAAATAAGTTATTAAATTCAATTAGATGCTTATTAAGGTACAATTTAATGGATGAATAATTGATGAAAGTAAAACTTTTACAACAAACAAGAACCAGCCTAATTTATTCATTTCAAGTCTGTTTTATTTAAATTAATAAAGTGATAATAACATATTGTATAAATTTAATCCACAACATTATATTTGTTTTTTTATACTAAACCGAATAAAATTTATATTTTGGAGTGTAAATATGAAATTGTATGTATTTAATTCCAATTTGTCTCAGATAGAAATGTTACAGTTTAATCAAATGTTTATCGATTTAAGACCCGATTGTAATCAATTTTAGAGCTGCCTGTCTATTACTTTCTCTTGCCTATGGCGTTAAATTAGAATCTGGAGAAGGTATTTAAAATTAAAACAAATCAAACATTGAACGAATAGCTCCATCTACAATGCTTTCACTAATTCCAAATAAAATAAACAAGCATAATACAGATTGCTATAAAGAATGATAAAAAAATTACATAAAATAAATGTGATGCACTTATTTGGTGCCATTATTGCAGTAATTGCAGTGGTTTTATGAAATAAATTTATTGGAACGTATGGTGTTGAAAATAACTCGATATTTATCAATTATTCTTGTTAAACATTTATTATTTATACAGCTTCTTATCAGCGGTTAATATCAGAATGTTGATTGTATATTTGACCTTATTAAGTAACTATTGTTTAAAGAGCTTACCTTACTACATCGAAATTGGCTTCTGGAATTGTGACATCAACATAGGATAAGTCGTCTGGGTATTTTAGAACTAATCCATCTATTTTTTGCATCTGCCTTTTGAAATTGTTGATGTTTTCATCTGTCGTTTTGATCCCACCTACATTCAAACGAAACACATGTTAACTTACATTATAATGAAGTAATTAAAAGTATACCTTTTTGAACAAATCTGACAATGCTTTCCATGTTTTTCAATTGTATTTTATCTATTTCTCAAATCAATGAGCACTTTGAAACCCTTTTGTCCAAATTAGGTGTCCATAAAACAAAGGTCGAGTGAAAATGTTAAGAATACAGAGAGATAAAGAAATTTCGATCGAATTTTACCCAACATTTAATTTAAGAGGTCTGCTTTAATTCGTAACATAAAATATTTTTGCAGACTATTTTTTTAAATTAGTGTCATTCAACATATTATCGTGATCACAACAAAATTAAAAAATGAAACTGTCATTATTGTCAATTTAAAATTTGACATATATGATGTTACGTTTTTCAAGTTACTCCATCTCTGCTGTTTCTCTGTTTGTCTTGTAGTATAAGTGTAGTTCTCTCCTTTTAATGTACGGTTCCGAGTGATTCCGAATGTCAAACGGGACTATTTAAATATTTTTGAAGTGAAAGTGACGTTTCTTTCAATCCACTTAACCTCAATTCACATTACAATTTATTGCAATTTTTACAATTTCAGTTTCACAAAATGACGAAATTACAAGAATGGTTGGCTGGTATAGGAATTATATTCGCTATTTGGTTTCATTTAATTACTAGCAAGGACCACAACACTTTTGCGCGAGAAAACTATACCTTAATATTATATTCTCCCGTTATTTTTGTGCTTATTTTCGGTGTAAGTAGCAGGAGCTGGTGTATTCTAATATGCAATTCAATTGAATTATATAAATTTTAGATTTACACCGTCAGTGTTATACTATATAGAGTATATACATTTAATGATTGTGAAGAGGCTGCCAAAGAATTACAAAAGGTGGGGAATTAATTTTGAATAACATTATTTTATTTTTATCTTATTTGTTTTTTTAGGAAATTCAAGAAGCTAAGGAGGAATTGGGAAAACTTGGATTTAAATTTCAGGAGACAGCTAGTTAGGATGTTTCGTTAATGGACCAAATAAAGACTGAGACATTCCATAAAAAACCTTTGTAAATAACTTCAATATTAAAACATGTTTTATTAATACACTCTAGAAATTAAAATTTGTTTGTAGAATAGCAAAAGGTACTGATGAAATACGAGTGATTTTTTTCATAACACAAAAGCCTTTAATAAATCAGCTAAAGCAATTTCGATCGATATCTTACAATTCTCCATTTATTTAATAAATTAATGAATCCATTCCAATAATTAAGAACTTTCAGAAATATCCAAAAGTGAATGTTAAAAATTTGCTCTGCAGGTCTTACAATCCGATATCAAATTATCCCTTGTTATTAAACTCATTTATTTTCTTAAAAATGGCAAGTATAAATAAATTTTTCAGTCTAATAGAAATACTAAAAAAGAGGATTTTTGGGCTTACAAATACAATAAAAGGGATGGATCACCCTACAATTTGGATTGTGAACTAGAAAATTCTCAATACCCCTTTTAGTGACACTGGTGTAAGTCAAATCTATTAATTCTATGTCTAAATTCTTAATGTAGTTGAGAGTAAAATCGGTTACTTTTTTATAGCCCCTCAGCGAGAGCCTTTTCAGCGGTATTTTACATTTTTTTACAGAATCGGGGATATCTTGGAATTGAAGTATTTGAAATTCAACTCTGAAAAAATTTTTGTAGATTAATAAAAATAAAAAAATTAACATTTTACACAAACCTTTCGTTGCCTCTTTCGTACGCTCTCAAATTCTGCCTGGAATTAATGTTATTATTCACAGCATGAATCCATTCGGCATATTCTTCTTTATTGCTGGATGCATTATTGCGACCATTGCTGGCCCTTGACGTGTCGTTTCGAGAACAAGACGGTTCATCTATTTTTTCGTTAGCGCCGTGAGAGCTATTTGCCTTCACATTCCTCGAATTCGATTGAGAAGGATTCGAGGAAGTGCCATTTCGGCTCCTAGACGTCGAAGGTTCCGACCTAAAAATGATATATTTAAATAAAAACGATAAATAAAAGCATCGTTTCGAACCTCAAGATCCTCTCTTGGACTTCTCTACTAATGTTGTTGCTTCGTATGATTCTTTCGATTCTTTCGCTTACATCATCGGCACTTTCCAAGAGCTGATTCACGAGAGTTTCTTGCGCTTCCGATGTCACTCCATTCAAATCCGATGTTTTCGATTTTTTCGCTTCGACTTCATCAGTATCGCTCTCATCAGATTCGCCTAATTCGTATCGGCGTTTCGTAGGATGAAGATCCTGAGAAACTCGTCTTTCAGTGTGCGCTCTAAAAATCAATTCCAATAAAACAATCAATTCGTAGGAGTTTTTCTTGGAGATTTGTATAACCTGCCGTGCCTGTTCTCATCAGCTTGGTTGTTGTTTCTGTTAGCGTTTGCATCGAGTATGTAAACGTTGGGTGACGATTGATTCCTTGCACTGGCTCCTTCTTCCGGCAGGCTCATTTCTTCTCTAACGGAGGGCGTCCGATCGTACATGCTCGGTACTATTAGATTTGTTCCCATGCCGAAATAACAACAACCATCGTCGCCGTCTTCTTCGTCCGAGTTGGAGTCCGAGTCCATGTGAGTATCCGAAACTAGACTTGCTAAAAAAGTTAACATATTTATGTATCGTTTAATCTTGCTTTAGAATAGTTTATACCTGGATTGAATTTCATTTGATGCGATAGAAAGAAATCTTTGAAATGACTGGGTAGATTAAGTAAATCTTTCATGTGTTTATTGCATACGAATTTTAGCTCGTCCCTTCCAGAGGGTATATGTACTATGTCCTCTTCCGAGAAAGGAGTATACTTATCTAAAAAAAAAATGTATAATTTACTAATTTTATGACTTGTAAGTTAATATTTATTACATAATTCATCTTCCTTAGCTCCTTTGCTGCCACAGGTACATTCCGGATAAGGATCTTTATACAGTACACTGTAACTGATCTTTTCCACTTCGTTTTTGGGCTTAGCCGTCGTGGAAATGAACTCGATGAGATGTCTATCAGAAATGCTCATATCGGTGTACGAAGGATCCACAGATTGTCTTTTTTTCGTGCTATCCCATTGATTGACGATTTTTTCTTGATAATCCACTTCCGAGGACTTGAAACTTTGAAAATATAATCTTTGTATATTTTCTTTAGAATAAAACGTTCGGAGCAATTCTCCTCCAATACCTGCAAAACGTACAGCATTAATGATTGAGTACATTGGGTATTTAATTTAAATTTACCAGTAAATCTGCAATCGAAAATTTTCAGTTTTTTGCAGCCGAGCTTGGCCACGTTCAGGTAAGGTATCGTGTTCAAGTGGACTCTTAAACATTTAACAATTGAAATAATTTCCAAATATTCGTATTTACAAATCGACAGTAAAAAGCTGCAAGTTACCCAAGAACATTCGTCCAGGATTAATACCTAAAATAATTGGCATTTAATATAAATAAAATTTGTGTAAAAAGTGCTTAAATACCCTCAATTTCGGCATATTTTTCACTGAATGCTGAAAAAAGTAATCGGAATCTTTCACATAAGTTCTTTTCAAACTTAATTCTTCCAATCCGGCAGGAAAATCTCTTAAAGTCACCTACAAAGAAATTTTAAATAAACACAAATTCACTATTTTAAAAACCTATTAGGGAAAGAATAATAATAATTTACCTTTACGCCTTTAAGTTTAACATTTTCCAGTGCCAGCACTTTGATATTGTCGAAAGGATTAATAAAACTAAAAAAATTAGAAGGTAGATCTATATAACTTAAATTTCCTCGTAAAAATAAATGAGTTGTTCTCGAATGTATTCTACTTGTGCAGTATTCTATTTTATCACAAGTGTTCGGATCTTCCCTGGCATCGATTCGTTTCCAAAATGTTGGATCGAGAATAAACTCTTTCAAGTAGTTGCAAGTTCTAAAACAACATTATTAGGATATACGTGAAACGAAAATTAGGTAAATTTCAAGTAATTTACCCGCTTAAATGGTAAAGAGAAGTTGCATCTAGATACGAGAACAATATTCTCATTACATAGTGGGGTAGCTCTAAAAGTTTACAAGGACCATCGTAATATTCGCCTTCTACAACCATGCTGAGTTTCTAATAATTATTCTCAATGTACAATCTCGATACACGGAGTTTCTCTTAAAATGTTTGATCAGAAAAATCAGAAATCAACACATTTTTGCATATTTTTCAACAATAAAATGAACTCTCAACAAAACAGTCAACAATGAAAATGACATTTATTTGTTTGACAAGATAAACTTCAAAAATAGTTCAAATGTACCACAAATGTCACCGTTGACAATGACATGTTAAATATAGGTTACTTTTTGTTTATTTTATTAAAAAGTTTTTTATTTCAGATTTAAAAGTATAAAATGATGTAAACATAACTGTAATGTAAATAGTGATAAAACTACAAAAATGTTTAAAGGAACGATACGGTTTTTTTCCGAAAATGTGTATCTGTTTATGGGAATCCTAATAGGATTGTATTTTTCAAATATATTTTCCTATACTGAAGCTCCATCATCCTGTACCATCAAGACACGCTCAATAAGAAATGAGACGGAGATCCAAGAAATAATAAATTCCTCTGTGAACAAATTTGCTCCGAAACCTCTAATAAAAAAACCCGTTTCAAATCCGAACAAGCCAAAACTCATAAGACCACGATACTATTCAACCGAATTGGGAATCAGAGAAAAACTCTTCGTGGGAATATTCACATCCGAAGAGAAGATAAACAGCCAAGCTATTCATATTAACAAAACCATCGGTCATATCGTGGACAAAATCAAGTTCTTCATTACAGCACAGTACAAACTCAAAACTCAGTACAATCTTACCGGTCTAGTTGGATTCACCGACTCTAGACACAAATACAGGCCGTTCCAAGTCATCAAGTTTGTTGCGGATACGTTCAGCCAAGGTTACGATTACTATTTTTTCGCAAACGATTACACTTTTATTAATGCTCATCGGCTAAACGAGATAATTAAAAAAATAAGTGTGAGTATGGACGTCTATTTAGGCAAACGCGTGAAAGATGGCAGCTATTGCAACTTAGGTAATTATAACTAATTTATGTTGATTACATATAATTAATAATTATTCTTTGTTTCAGATTCTGGAATATTAATTAGTGCATCTGTATTGAAAGCTATGAGAAACCATTTAGATTGGTGTATTATGAACGCTGTATCTGAGGATCCCAGTGAAAATATCGGGAGATGTGCCTATCACAGTTTTGCGATATCCTGCCAAGAATCAGTCCAAATGGAAAGTCTACCTTCGTTCAAAATTAAGCATTTCGAGCTATTGCCTCACTTGAAAGAAATGACTATGAAAAAGGAATTCAACGAAGCAGTTACCGTCTATCCAGTATTAAAAAAGGACGATTTTTACACGTTGAACGCTTATTTTTTAAAGGTAAAATTGTACAGGGAATTCGTAATGTTACTCACCTCTGTCATTCTTCGTTAAATTATTAAGTCGCATCCAATTCCAGATGAATAGTTGATCTTATTCTATTTTTATTACTAGGACTATTTTTCTTGAACAAACATATCAATATACAGGATAAGAAACGTCTGTAAAACACAAAAATATTCGTTATTATTTTTTATTTATTATATTTCAGCAACGATTGGCAATGCTACAGGAAGAAACACAAGACATTTCTACACTCCTTACAGGGGAGGAATGGCCGCCTGGTCAAAGGCAGGGAGCGAAACCTGCCACTAGATTCGATTTACCTAGGCAATACTATTTTAACGCAACTCACATTTTCTTTCCTGATGATTTTTCCACTTTAAAACAACTGAATAAAGCGGAACTGAAGGAGCACGAGGTTAATATTCAAACCAATTTAAACTTACATGTTTCGAAGTTTTATTCATTGCAGGAAATCATAGAAGAAATAAAACTGAAAACATTAAATGGAAACGGCAAGAATTTAAAATACATGGAATTGGTGAATGGATACAAACTATTTGATTTAAGCAGAGGAATGGATTATACATTAGACGTTAAATTTGAAGATCTAAACAGCGGAAAACAATTAATAAAAAGGTAAAAAAATTAAAGAATAGTGATTACCAATACATTATTTATTACCTTGGTAGGTTCGAGGTCTGCAAACCTTTAGGGAACATAGAGATCATACAAGTGCCTTACGTAACTGAAAACACCAGAGTGAACATTCTATTTCCCGTTCAGGAAACAGAAGTACCTTTAGCAACAGAATTTCTAACTAACTACGCTTCGTTAATCATGGACAGGAAAGAAAAGACCTTCCTCCTGGTTATTTTACTCTATCAATACAACAGCGAAAGCAAAGGTTCTAAAGATCCTTTCGCTGAATTGAAAAGTTTCTCTACTGCTGCCGCCAATAAATACAAAAATGACGATGTTAAAATCGCTTGGTTGTCAATAAGATTACCGGACTTGCCCAAGCCGCTGTATTTAGAGGATAATAGAGCCTTGAATTTCGCTATAGTTGATTTGGCTCTGAAGAAAATTGGTTTGGATAGTTTAACTTTGATATTGGATGTATATTGCAACATATCGGTGGAATTTTTAAATAGGGTATGTTAAATTTTAAAGCGTAATAGAAAAAATTAATAGTCCAGTGATTTTAGGTCAGAATGAATACCATACAAGATTTCCAAATATTTAACCCGATTCCCTTTCGCCAGTACAATCCGAAAGTAACCCAAATGAATACCCTCGATATCAACAAATTCAACGGGCATTTCGATAGGGAGGAATATAAATATATTTCCTTTTACGGAAAAGACTACGTTATTGGTAAGTTGATTACGAGAATCGAGAATTTTTGTGTTTATAAAAATTGTTGCAGCAAGAAAAAAACACCAACACATTCTGCCATTGATAAGAGTGGACAATGATATTTCTAACATTCTCGACGAAGACCACAAAACAATAGGTAACATCTTCGAAATGTTCATTAAATATTACGACAAGTTGCATTGCATGAGAGCCACCGAAATGGGCTTGAAAATTCGATATCACGACGAAACCGACTGGCGAAGGAAGAATGCCTTTTTGGGCAGTGAAGCCGAATTGGCGAAGCTCATGTTAACGAAGAAAGAGATTTATGAAGCGTCTTGAGTAATGTTTTCTTGTATCTTGTATTTTATCGCTATTTTTTAATTATGTACATAATATACATATTTTTAATAAACGCTTATTTCTTATAATGGAGTGTTGTTAAAAATAGTTGAAATTTTCCCCAAAAAGGAGAAGTTTGGCAACACAGCAATAATAAAAGTTTAGTTAGGCAACATATCACACCCAACTGTATTGTTGGTTGCTAAACTATTTTAAAATAAAAATAAACAGTACAATTAACCAATTACCAATAATTGTAACTGAAATTGCGTGTAAAAAATTATTACGATGATTATTTTAATTCGTACGTCTCAAAAATAGTTCAAATGTACCAACTTTTCTATCAAGTGACGAGAAGAAAAAACAAACAATTAGGTTAGAAATGTCGGAATTGGAGGAGTATTGTTGTGTATGCGTGAAAAAGCAAAACAATTTAGAAAACATCAATGAAATCGACAATAATTCGACAAGATATAAAGACAAACTAGTCTTTTGCTCCAAAGAACAGGTATTACAATCGCCTACTTCGATGAATTCTATTCAATTTCCTTGTTCTAGGAATGGCCCGATTACTACAATATTTGTAAAAATTGCATTATCCAGCTCGATTTGGCTTATCAATTCGTTAAAGCTTGCAAACAAAGTGAAGAACTGAGGAAAGAGCAATTGAAACTCATAGAAGAACAAAAAATTAAAGATAAAAGTTTCAATTGCCACAAATGCAACAGGGAATTTAAACACAAAAGATCGCTAACAATTCACTTAAAAAGATCTCACAAAACTCAAAAATTACTAGAAAATGAATCGGATTTTAACGAGTGTATATCACAAGAAGAACTCACAAACGACGAATTCACAGATTCGTGCGAAAACATCCCATATTTTATTCAAGAAGACACCAACATTCCTAATAAAAAATCATACGTCAACAACAAAATATCCCTAACGTGCGAATATTGCGGTAAAATATTCAACAGAAGGCAACATTACTCGGCACACATCCGTTCGAAACACACATTCGAGAAACCTTACAAGTGCAACATATGCGATGCAAGATACACCACTTCGCACAGCCTGCTAGTGCACAAAAGAAACCACAACAACGAAAGGCCCTTCGTGTGCACCGCGTGCGGAAAAAGCTTCGTGTGCTCCGGCGATTTGTACCACCACGGCAAAATCCACCTCAACAAGCGCGAATACAAGTGCAGCACGTGCGAGAAGAGCTTCAACACGGCGAGCATCCTGCGAACGCACAAAATCTGCATGCACTCCGACCCCAAACATTGGAAGTACGTGTGCAAAACATGCGACAAGCACTTTCCCATTAAATCCAATTTAGTCACGCACCAGAAGCGCCACGCCGGGATCAAAGAGTTCACTTGCCACATTTGCGACAAGAAGTTCTTCGATAAGGCCGAAGTGTCCAGGCATTTGAAGTGCCACTCGAACGAGAGGCCGTTCAAGTGCGGCCTGTGCGAAGGGAAAGAGTACAAGACTAATTACGGTCTGAAGAAGCACATGAAAATTGTGCACGACAAAGGGACTATTACCATCGTTAAACCGGAGAAGAAATACGCTTGTTCGCAATGCCCTCGGGTGTTCGCTTTTAATAATAAATTGCAGAAACATATGTACACGCATACAGGTGACAAACCGTTCAAGTGCCAGCTCTGTAAAAAGGGGTTTATCGAAAATTATTATAGGAGATTACATATGCAAAAGAAACATAACGTCCAATCGGTAGATTGAAACAGGGCATTAAATTAAATTTATTTATAGTCTGAATTAAAAAGAAACTGATTTTAATTTAAAGCCCTGGAATAATTTTACTCTAATTGTGCAATTATTGATATTGCGTCTCACCTACAGACTGCAGATCTTGTCTAATTCTAAATGTTTACATATAATTTAAGTATCGCTAGTGTTGATAGATTATGTGATAAGATTTGAAGTCTACAGTTATAAATTATACATATTTATTAATGTAAATATTAACCTAAAGATTATTTATGAATTCGTAAGGGGACAACGCCGTCAATTATAAAGTAGTTTCCTTAAAATAATGGAATAATGGCAATTCTACTTCTGCATTGAAAATGCCCAATTAGTTTCATTTCTGAGAGGATTGAAAATAAAACACAAAACTCCGATACATAGTTTTCTTAAAACATATGGAACAATTTAAAAAATAACTGGTTTGTTATTAATGTACAGACTAATGACTCGTTAACTATATACATATGTATACTCATAATTCATAATATATGCAGAGTATTTACAATGTTAAAAAGTATATTCTCGTTATTCAAAAAAAAATCGAGTTTACTAAGCCGTTGTTAAAAATTATCAATGATTTTCAATATTTTGTCTTATTTATATTCGTTAACAAAATCGAGTTTACTACGACCTGACTAATTAAAACTTTGCGTCCTGAGTAGCAGATTCATTTGCCACTGCCCAATCTGATTGAGATCTATAAGCAAACATTTTTAAAAAATACCTAGTAAATCGTTACCGCACCAAATTGTTACCACCAGACACTCTGTTAGGAGAAAAGAACGAGTTAGTCTTGTTAGTAAAAAGATCGACAAGAAAAAATTAAAGCTACACAATACAAGCAGACTTGTTTCAATAGAAATATGTGTTAGAATTGGTTAATCGCATTTTGTGGTTGAAATCAATACAAAGCCACACATACACTAATAACTCTATACCTACAATCTATACAAACATAAGCACCTAATGTTGATTTTATTCAGCAGAACTCTGCCTGAAAATAGATATATTTTAACGTAAACAAAATAAGATAAAATATTTTTAATTTAAACGATAAATAGACATTTAAAAAATATGAAATTCTAACAAACAGACGATAAATGTACAGAGTATTGCAGATAAGCACAGGCAATTGCATTTTCGTTATAAATATTGCCCGTAATCTATGAAATACCCTGTAGAAATACGTTAAACTTATCATGGAACAAGAACTTTTATTGATAAATTTAACGGGTATAATTTATTTATATACCAGTAAATAGAATATTTATAGCTGATATCTGCTATAAGCGGCATGCACGTGTAAACATAAATTATTTACTTAACTTATATCTTACCTAGAGTAACTTATAGGACTTATATCCAATGTAGCATCGACGGGGCCTACAATATATTTATTTACGGCGTTATATCTTAGAAGGTTGGTGTTGCCCATAGATATCGCCATGTGTATTACGAGATACCCGCAAAATAGAAGATAAAAAACACCTACTATTGCCACAATTACCAAATAGAACCAAGTAAGTCCCCAGGAACTCACTAGATCAATAACGAAATAAGTATTGATAGCTATCACCGCAATACTGAGAAGTATAGATGCAATTTTGTTCCCGCTGAAATGAAACGAGTTAAGGATTTAATAAGAATTCATAGGTCTCGTTATACTTACAGTCCGTTCACGAATTCTCCCATTATCTGAGGATTACTGGTAAAAGCAATTGTAGGTATCGTAGCGAATGGTAACTGCAAGCTCATTATTGCGTTTAATATATCGTTCATGCGCGTTAGATCGTCTACATTACTAAAGAACGCTAGACAAAATGTTGGTATTATGGCGATTGTACGAGTGAAAAGTACTCTTTTCCACCTGGCCCATTGCAGATTCAAAAAACCTTCCATTGTAAACTGGCCAGCATATGTTCCTGTTAATATGGAGTAATTATTATTATACATTTAACAGTGTATGCAAAATAGTACCCGTCATTGTGGAACTTTGCCCAGCTGCTAAGATGCCAATTGCCCAAATGTACATGGCTATTACCCCATATCTGCACCCCAAATATATCCCACCTTTGTACAGATCCGCTTTAACAAGTTCAGTATCGTTCTAAAATATTGAAAATCGCCATTCAACAAATGCAGCAATATTTTTAATAGTACTTACAGGGAATATAGACGCGTTAAGACTCGGATGATGCGTGCACAATTCGTGCTAGAACAAAATTAATTGCCAATTAAACAGCACAAATGAGATTACTGATACTTACAACTTCAAAATTTTTGGTTTGGTACAAACCGTGAGCAAATACAGCTACTACAAAAACGTTTATAACGAAACTAACGAGCAACGCTATACAGGCCTCTACAAAATAGTACATGTTGGCGTCTCGAACCTTCTCGGATTTCGTACGATCGATGTCCCTCGATTTAACAAGAGCAGAATGGAGGTACAAATTGTGCGGCATTATTACGGCACCTGGAATAGAGCGAAGACATTACACAATCCATGGGACTAATCACGTCCGCATATTATTTAGAAGGTCTGGAAACTCTGATTAATTTGTCTTACAGGAAGTGTTGCGCTTATTGTGACTTTGGTTTGAGGGTTCACGGAAAATCCGCTTGGAACGCTAGTGTCGGATAGGGTTCTCAATACACTTCGGTACGATCATAGACCTTCTAACTATAGACAGCTAGTTTGGGCATATGGCAATGAGAGATTAGACAATGCATTAGCCAATAGTAAGTAAGCAAATGACCACGTAAGTTACGTTTGCAGAAATGCAAGGTTTCATAGATGAAGAACACCCTGTATATATCTTATATTTTTATTTGCTCCCGCCTACTTCTTGCCCTAACTAGCTCCATCTCTGACAGAGATGCTCACGGAGAGCTTTTGAAAGCAAATATTTGCAATTGTTATTTGGAATAAATGAAAATTGGCGTTATGTGCGTGTGTTTAAACAACACTACCCGATACTAGCGCCCTCTGTCGAGAGTCACATCATCCGCAATACATTTTCAACATGAGTTGCCCGACCTATATCTTATTATACAACCGTGGGACTAATTGTAGTAATTACCGATTATTCCCACGCCTTGTAGCAAAGCGCTGCCGTCGCATCCGGAACACCAAGGCGTGAACATACCCTCTACCACGCCGAGTGCATCGGGTTTGGATGTTACGTATTCGAAACCGAAGGTCAGACCCATGACAGTAATCAGCAGACCGAAAAACGATTCGAGTTTTCTGAGCCCGTATTTGTCGAGAAACAAAAACGTGAATGTATCTATAATAGTGATAAGAACGCCTCCCCAAATCGGTATCCTAAAAAATGAGTAACATAGATAACAAGCGTAACATGTACAAGGGGAATTACGTACGCTCTGTTCGACAAGAGATAAATTGCTATGGCTGTTCCAATGACTTCTTGCATGTCGCTACCGATAATCGCGATTTCTATCATTATCCACAGCACTAATCTCGGTAGTTTTCTGTATTGCCTGTAGCACATTTCGGCTAAGTGGAGACCCGTAACGACACCCAATCGAGCTGATAATCTCTGCATAAGGAGGCCCAACAGAGTGGCACTTAAAAGTACCCATAGTAATCTAAAATTGAATCGGTTTCGCATAAATAAATTACATTTCGATAGCTTATATTATTTGTATAAGTGTTTAATTATCAATCAACTTTATCTTATGTTTTGGTTTCTTAATAAAAATTTCTAAAAATGTAATAATTAGTTTATAATAATTTAACTGATAATTAATATGATGATAGAAGAAAACGAGTTTCTATAATTTGTTTCCAATTACTAAAAAAAATTACTGTGAATCATAAAATAACACATGATAAAGTATTTTAATGTCAGCACAAACCTGTATTGAGCAACTGTTCCACTCTGTAGATCGCTTTCTATATTTCCAGGATCCAGATAGGCGATTGACATCAGAAATCCGGGTCCGGTAAAGGCCCATAACTTTTTAAAGCTGAACCCTGACTGAAAATAAATCGTAGAAATCGAAATAACAAGCTTTATAGAACGCTTACTGTATTAGTCTCGGGTATTCTAATTCTCTCATCGGCGAAATACGTTTGATTCGATGATAAATGAGCGGCTTCGTTTGGGGAATAACTGTTTTTATTTGATTGAAGAATTCTTTTGTGCGATGCATCCTGCTCCGATGGTCCTTCGATATTCTCAACACTGTGATTCGATGCATTCGGGTTGGAGCTTTCGTTTTTATCATCTAGAATATCACCCATTCTGTAAACAATCGATGATTCAATGAAAAAAAAATGAAATTATTCAAATACACATTGATGTAAATGCAATAACACTCGGCTAGCAAACTCTAATCTCCAAACTGTGGAAATTAGGAATTTATATTTCAATGTGATATAATAGCAACAATTACATTTGACATTGAATCAATGCGAGAGAAAATCGTTAAAAATCAGTTGAAAAACATACCAGTGATTTAACAATTGGATAATCAATCATTACCGGTTTCTAGAAAAATTATTTGCAAGTATTTCATGAACATTTATGAGGTAATAAGAACTCTCAATCTCAATAGCTTTACAAATACGCTAGACAAAACCTAATGAAATTTACCTTACATACCTACAAAACAAACCATACCATATTGTTTAACAAAACATACCTGAATATTGAATAAGAAATAGAAAAAAAATGTACCAACTTGTATTTAAGTAATTCAACACCAAATAAATTTTTACATACTTATAACAAAAGTCACTGCAAATAAAAAATATTATTTTTTTACAAGGTAATAAATAAAGTTATTAAACAAAGGAGAAGATAAATAGTCTCTTCCTTCAATGGAAAATTTGAAATGTGAGCTCGTTTAATGGGATTATCGTACTGTTATTACTAAACAAAGTAAATCTTGCATTATAATTAATCAAAGTACATTAAACAAGAGATGATTATGGCTAAATAAAAGAAAATATATTAGGGATTAACCAAAATTCAAGGGGGCAATGTTTTCTAAAGCTTGTAAAGTTACAAGGTAATATCAAAAAATGAAAAATCTATTTTAATACTAAAGAAACCTTACTCATTTCCGTTTTACTCTTTAACAACAATATATATTGGAATCATATTTTATCAAAAATCTTATCGGTTTCACAGAAATGTACTTGTTTGATAGAAATGAGTATAAGTTAATTCAAATTACTTTACTTTTGGAGTGGGTACTCACCTTCTTATTAATAGTTTATTTGTTAAGTGGTTTATTAATATATAGACAATAAATAAAAATAAAACTGCCTCGTCAAAACAAAACTCTTTATCAACATAAATTAACATTTAGCGATAGGTTGGGATTTTTAATTCCGAGTTTTAATTTGCGACACAAAAGAGAATTGAACTAAATCTAGATGTAAATTACCTGATATTAATTTAACTGTTTTCCTTAACTAACACCAATGAAACTTTCACTAGAACATTTTTTCTTACAGCTAGTGAGAATTTTCTTATCACAGAAATTTGAGAAAAGTTACGTGTCACCATTGACTTCGTCAAGGAAAATTAACCTTTATTTTCTTCTGTTTACAACTGTAGATTTCAGCTGATTAGTTGATTTGTTGATTACGATTTTACGAATGAGTAATGAATTGTTCAATGGTCACGTTCGAATATTTCTTGTTCCGTGTTTTATGTCATTTTCACTGCTTAAAAGGGTGTGTTAAGTAGTAATTCAGTGTTGCCAATAAACTAAATATAGTTACATTCATAAAAGTAGATGGCGTTAGTGGTCTCAAAATTCATGTTTTGTGTCAAAATTCGAAATTTTTTATGGACCTTTTTCTATTGGGCTAATCAGCACAATATAAAAAAACATAATTTTTAAATCAATTATTTGTAAGAATACGAAATTCAATTTATGGTACAATGTTTGTTCATTATTAACGGTGCTTTGCAACTATTAATTCGTTAATTTCGTTCTTAAAATTCTTCACATTTCTCACCTAACCTAACCTAACATTCTTCAAATTCCAAGAATTCCACGATAATCAAAAATCAAACAAAGTTATTTAATGTTATTTAATATTATAATGTTTTCTTTTCACTCTCCACTGGTTTTCAAGGCCTACAGATAAGGTTTAGTATACTTATTAAATACAATAATGATCTTTTTAAATTGAAACTTGATCGACAATTTGCAGAAGGTTATGAAGCCTTTAAAATACAAGATAATTACCAGTTTCCAAACGAACTTTTCTTATGCAACGAAAGCAATGGAGAACAACATGCACGCTAAAACTTACGAGGTATATATGATTTATTTCGAAAATCTCATGAATTAATTGTTTTTTTTTTCATTCAGGGAGCTATTGATGCATTAAACGAGGTGCAAAGCAACACTGAATATATACGAAACTATTTAATTAGACCTAAGCATGAAACGAATCTACCTACAGTGGCAAAATATCTGAAAAGGTACGTTTGTTTATTACATTACCAAGACAATAATACAAATAAATAACAGTAAACAGTAACAATTGAAGCATTAACAATACGTGTTTTAGATCTGGCTTGGAATTAAAAGATCTGGATAAACTGTCCGTTATCCACGTAACTGGAACGAATGGTAAGGGCACAACATGTGCATACACCGAACGGATATTGAGAAGCCATGGTTACTCGACTGGGTTTTTTTCGTCCCCTCATTTATTGAATGTTCGAGAGAGGATCAGGCTGAATGGTAAACCCGTCTCGAAGCCGGAATTCGCCAAATATTTTTGGAAAATTTACGATACTCTCGATAGTCAAAAAGTAATATAAATAAGTCAATACGTTACTCTGTGTAGGATTTGCTTGATTTTTAGGAGAATCCCAGTGATATGCCACTGTACTTTCGGTTCCTAACTCTCATGGCCCTCCATATGTTTTTAGATAAAAAAGTGGATGTAGCCATTTTGGAAGTTGGTATTGGTGGTGAATACGATTGTACTAATATTGTGAGGTAAAAGCATTTTAAATGTATCTAACAGTATATCAATATTTATTGGTTTTTATATAGGAAAACTGAAGTTGTGGGAATAACACCTTTAGATTTGGATCATGTTTCTATGCTAGGAGACACCCTTGAAAGTATTGCTTGGAATAAGAGTGGTATTATGAAAGAAGGGTGTTCAGCTTTTACAACAAATCAGCCACCTGAGGTTTTGAATGTCTTCAAGGAACGCAGCAAAGAGAAGAAGGTAAAATAATATCATACTACAAAAAACGAGAAATTTTTATCATTAATTGTTTGTAGTGTACACTTAAAGTGATAGATAACAATAATTACAGTAAAAACTGTTCGAATATACCATTCCATGTGAAGAAAACAAATGCTAGTCTAGCTTTTTCTTTAGCTGAAGCTTATATCAATAGAGGTAGTATATTTTTGTTATATTTTACTATTATCTATAATCAAAAGTATGGCAATTATCAGAATTAAGTGTATTAATAAAATTTTACCATTTCAGATAAAAATGGTAACAAAACATTTGATCCGGAATTAGCCATAAAGTCAATTGAAGAAACCCATTGGCCTGGCAGATATGAAATTATACGAAACGAAAACCTAACGTAAAACTTTTATAATATACAGTGTGTCCCGCATAAGAACCGACAAAGATCAGGGTAGTGTAGGGGAGTCTAAAATACGTTGTTTGTCTCAACTTTAGTTTGATATAGACAACTTTTGATTTATTGAGGATTTTAAAAACAGAAACACTAGAAAAGTTTAAACATGAAATTGCTTAAGAAATGAACTAATAATTTTTAAATCATAGATTTAAGGGAGCATCATCCTTGATGATCCCTTTAAAATACATGAATATGTCTTAACTATTGATGCTCTTAGTACACTCATAACTTATACTAAATTTAGTTGTTTTAAGTTTGAATATTACTGACATATTATTTTTTTTAATTTGCAATTCCACTTTGAAGGCCTATTAACTTCAAGAACGTAACTTTGTATTAAGTTAAGTTGGATTAAACAAAATATTTTGGGCTCCTATACACGCCTCTGCTCTGTGTAGGTTATTAAGCGGGACACTCTGTATTATATTAACTCTCAAAGCTAATTTTTTCTAGTGTAATACCGCATAGCTCTAATTTTTAGTGCTTTTTTAGGTATTATTTGGACGGTGCGCATACGTTGGATAGCTTGCGCATTTGTAAGAATTGGTACATATCTCATACTCGAAATAGCGATAGGAAAAAATGTTTAGTATTTAACATGACGGGAACAAGAGACTTAAACGAGTTTTTCAACGAATTGAATCACATCAGATTCGATTTAGTCGTGTTCATTCCAAATGTATCTGGCGTTAGCGACAAAGCAGGTATTTAAATTTTTTTGGAAAATTTCATATTTTCTGCTTTTTGTGTATACATTTTTGGCTTTTGGCTTTGAATTTTCACTCGTTTTCCTAATTAACGCACAACTTTAAACACCCATAAATTGTACAATATTACCATCATTTTCGTTCACGCTTTTCCACATTCGATTTAAATGGAGAAAATCTAAATGGATATATGCACGCTGCACGATTCACATCCATCATCACTAAATTAAATGAAATTGTTGAGTTTATTTTTAATAATACAGGCGACTAATTGGGACCAAAGCCTATTGATTCGATTATTTTTTTAAGATACAGCTAATTTTAAATTTCCAGAAGAAAAACAGCTTCTGAAATGCCACGAATATAAAACAAAGTGGCTGGAAATGTACGGATCCGATTCTTCTTCTTCGCCTTGCGTGCACGTTTTCCCGTCATTCTCGCAGGCCGCGAATTTTTTTAAACAATCCGGCGATTGCGATGTATTAGTTACAGGTTCCATACATTTAATTGGAGCGGCCCTTTCCATTTTGGATCCCACTTTAAACGGCACGTTACTGGATTAATTTTAATTGTTAGTTTTTGCTTTTCATTGGGTTTACTTGGGTTTTTTATTTTTAAAAATTATATTTTTGTTATTATTATACTTAATTTTTTACTTAAACAATTATCTCCTTCTTATTACCTACCTATTTATTCTGGGTATAATTAAAAAATCAGTAATAGACACTAATAGATAATTTTTTAACATATTTCTAGTAAATTTATTTGTGCAAAATATAGGGGAGTTATAATCTCTTGGTTTACAAAGCGATATTTCCTTAAGAAAGATATTTTTGTGAAAATAGTGAAAAATTTATACATCTTAATTAATTACACCTATTTATATCCTTGCTGCCCTATTTAGATTGATTTTGATTTCATGAAAATATATTTAAATACTAAAATTTAGTACATACTTGATAATTTCACGACTTCAAAACACGAAGTAATTTTGCATTTACTAATAATTAATTTTGAAAAATCTACCACACACAATACCGTTTCTTAAGTGCCAATTAATAATATTTTCGAATCGATACAAATCGTGAACACCTTGCTAACTTAACAATATACGTTTCTAAAGTGAAATTTGGATATGCAAGTTTGTAATTTACACGATATTTATTATGATTACGTCTAATCTTGCTTGCATGGGTGTACATTTTCAGGTGCTTCTCGTTATCGTTTGTTTTTCCACTGCAAGTTTATTAACTAATTGCTCTTGTGTACTCGTACACGAGTACTGTTATTCGTTTTTCCACATATGCATTGACCTTATGAAGTGCAGATTTAATATCTCCACATCGGCCTTTCTGAATCTTTATCTTTGTTTCTCCTTCTTCTTAAGGAGCCGCTTCTAGAAAAGCACCTCGATGTCAAGTCGATTTCGTCCTCGTGTAAAGTGTGGAGGATTCTAGCGCTTTGCGATCTTTGGGGGAGTTTTCGTTGTTTTTCTGCCTTCCCGCGGTATTTTCTATCCTGAAAAATTACCAGTCAGTAATTTTATTCGTTATCAACCTACGAATCCATTTATTTGTATATAATTTGAGATATATAAATACCTAAAAAGTAATGCGTGCTATCCTCCTGTGAAGCAATTATTAGTTTACTTTTAGCCTAAAAAATCAAAATGAGCAAACTGTGAATAATTAATTTAATCGTTTTGAAAAACATTTGTGTATAAGCCGATCCATTCTACTAATTTCGTAACTAGAGTTCTATTTCTGGTCATAAATAGTAAATAAAACAGTACATTCTTACCTTTATTCTAACAATTAATATAGGTGAATAAAGCAACTACAAATAATATGCAAAATTTATTCAATTAAAAATTAAACTTAACATTAATGTTTTGATATGAGATACGAAATAAAAGTCGAGAATAATCAGCACTTGTGAAACGCCCTAGAGTTACAAATACATATTTCAAAATACAACAACAATAATAAAAACGAATCTACTATGCTACATTATGGTGAAATTATTACAGTTTTAAGTCTTCTTATAAACGAAAAGAAATGTGACATAAAAAAATACGAAGCGGCGTGTTTTTTAGATATTTTTTAGCTTAATTTTTTAATGTTGAATTTCAACAACTCGAAAAAATGTTAAAAAGCCTTTACGAATAGTTACGCAGTAATGTTAACCGAATTAAAATTGTTGTCAAAATTCTTCATAAGAAAACATTTTTGTTATAGGATTAGATCAGGATTATTTTCCGAAAAACTTGTGTTCTTCTCCGTGTTATGAATACGAAGCATGCAGGAATAATTCTGATCTACACTATAATTTTTTTGATATAATACCAGGTGGTCAAATTGACTCCTGCACCTTCTTATAGTATCGTCACTTTGCTCACTAATAAATTTTGTTGGACTTAACCAGATTTAATCGAATTAAGGGCTCCGCTTTGGCCAAAAATTGTTTAAGGACGGTTTAATAACTGCTGTTAAAGTAACTAGTTGTATAATTTGAGCCACCCGGTACATATAGTACTTGTCAATAACATCTTGAGGAATACATCTTAAGTAATATTTTTATTTGATTATTATTTATTGCAATAAGGTAAAATTATCAATTAACAAGTACTATAATTTTTGCAGAAGTTCATAAAATATTTTTGGTCACATATCTAGGTATCACAACACCAAAACTAACTTTATTTTTTATTTACGCATTTATGCACCTACATACTAGGATGTAATACAATGAAGTAGATTTTTATAATGGTATCACATTTTACCAACACTAAGAATCTGTTTAAAAACTATTGTAATTAGGTAATTGTTTGAATAATCTGCTTTTAATTTATTTTCTTAACAGTATTATTGCCTATAATACGATGAAAGGAGTTAAATGTACGTTAGATATCGAAACAATTTATCCAAAGTCCATGCAATTAAGGATATTACATAAACGTAAAAATTGTAAAATGTGACGCCTTGCATCCGGAATAACCGAAATTTAGTGTAAGGTACTGTTAAAATCAGTTTTACAAACATTACTCGCTAAATTATTTATTGTTACTTCAAAATGTGCACGCTATAAATCGTACGTTTTGCATATCGGACATGCGATATTGTAGTTTTAGTGACGAATGGTATTTTGAGAGCGTCCTACAACGTCTATTACTGTAAAAATCCAGTCCGTACAAACAAAAAAAATACAGAGAAACGTAACTATCTACTGAATTAGCGTTCCCGGTTCAGGTTTTCATCGGCAACTGGTGTTTTGTCTGGTTGCGATGGAATCGAATTCTACAGCAAAAGAAAACGACAATTAAAGTGAAGTAATTGCGAACTATTCAAAGTGCGATTAATCGCATTTTATTCCCAATATGTGTACCTAAAAATCTCTAAAATACAAAAAAATCAAATGCACCACATTCGAGGCTACAACTCATTTCAATTCGGAGTTCGTGTATAAAAAGCCCTGCTAAACGAAATTTCAAATATCAATCGAAAAGCATTTATTGTGTTATTATTAATTTTGTGAAGGATTCATAAAATTCAGTGAAAGTGAAATAAAAAGTTTTAGTAGTCGAGAAGATGACACGAATTTTACGTGCTAAACGCGAATTATGTAATTCAGTTTAATCGATAGAGGTGCCAGTTGTAATTTCTACTCAGCATGCAATTCGATTTAATTAGTTTTTGAACGAAACAACTAATATAAAAAACTATAATAAAACCTAAATAAATAGATGTGTTAAGGTTTGTTGTTACGTTGGTTAATTAACTAATCTACAAGGTAATCCAATAGTTAATTTTACTTCACAATTTCAACGATGGTTGAAGTTTAAACTGGTCGTTATGCAGATACTTTTTCGATCAAAATTCTAACGCTTACTAACTTCAACCTTAATCCACCAAATCACAATTTCCTCGTTCACAAAAAATATTTAGTTTTTCATCACACTAAACTTACAAGGTTAGTAATTTTTATGAAAAAAAATTGCCAGTGAAATACCTTGATGAGTGATATATTGATGAATATCAGTAAAATGTATAAAGATAGGCAGGATCCTGTAAATAATAAAAGTAAGCAAAATGCAAAAAAATAATTGTACCTGTAATTTATTAAACAAAGTAGGTACCTGTTTATTTGTATTAAATGTTCAGTTTAGATAATTAGTTGTAGATAAAGAGTTTATGAATGTGGGTTCTAATAATCCTTTATTAAGTGTAAATCATTCTAATACTTAAAAAAAGAATATAGGGGCGTTGCAACAATATCGTACTCGTATATTTGTAAATTAAAATGAAAAAAAGTTCAAGTAATCCCTTTAAAGCGCAATGAACTTTAGGGGAAAATCTGGAAATTAATGCACTAAACTACTTACTTGAGACGTAGATAGAGAATGCTCTATGCTCGACACAGCCGACATCTGCCTCAAATAATCTTTGTCATCAAAAATCTTTTTCTCACCGCCGCCTGGCTTGTACTTTACGTTGTCCAAAGAGCCGATTTTGCTCGAAACTTTCAAGTCGATCTTTTTGGTTTCAATCTAAAAGGGTTAATCAGTATTCAATATTTGTAACTTTACAGCCAATTGCCATTGAACACAGAAATTGCTGTGCTTTGGTGACATTTATAAAAAATGGTTCCTGTAATTACATATGTTTCATCGGTTTGTAAATGTTCAAAAATAAGAATACCAATAGTTTAAATACATGTCTACAGCCGGTGAAATAAAGTGCTTTGCTAAAAACGTGAAATACACGATTAAGAGGGTGTAAAGATGAGAAAATTTGCGAAAAAATAGCGTACATTCGGTTTGTTTGAATTTTGAAAAACTCCTCAACTGTACAATTTACTACTTACGCTAATTTTTCATTGCATTTGGGCACACGACACAAATAATTACAGCAGGAATACTATTTTTACTAGGTGTAATTGTACGTACATATTTCCTTTAATTTTTTTACTCACTTTGTCTTTTTGATCTGTTTTATCGGATTCTTTGAAATTATCAGATTTACCAATAGCAAAATCTTTATCCTCCTTTTTTTCGTCCGACTTCGATTAAAAAATTTTATGCATTAAAAACTGACTGCGATAATACATAATTTATCTAATAATAAAATTTTGAAAGCCCAATACTATTTTATTAATCATTTAGAAAATCGATATTTATTTGCATTGAAAATTTTATGTAGTCAATACTAAAATGTGGGTTAGATTTTAGTGTTAATAAAAGAACGTTTTATTGATGAAGTATCTTATTAATTATAAAGTCTTCCAATAAAACATCCATAATAGAATTAAATTGATAAGTTTATCACGAGTTTCGAATTAAGTAAATTAGTGATCACCGTGTTCTAGATCATTATAACAAATGGGAGTTTATTTATAAATTATTAATAGTAAATTTAACATTCTCTTTATGGAACTCTGGTTCTTTTTGATTGTCCAAAAACCTAGAATGACCGGTACTAATTTTGAACAAGAATAAAATTTTTACCATTAAAGTAAAATGTTCGACGCATCACAGACAGAATATTAGTAATTTACCTTTACATCTCCTCCTCCTGGCTGGTGTTTGATGTTATCTTTCGATCCGACTTTGGGCTTCGCCTTCTCTTTGAAGTCCAATTTGATGCTTTCGATTTTTTTATCGCCACCTTTCGGCTTGTGCGTGGCGTTCTCTAGCGACCCTATTTTTGGTTTTGCGTTCCATTGCAATTTTTGGTGAACTATCTAAGTGTACAATACAAAAAGTTTGCGGTCAATTTGCTGGTGCCCCCTAAACTACCTTCTTTAAACCGTTTTGAATTACTTGTAAGAAAGTGATTGTAAATTTTGTATTTTATTTTAGCTAATTTATTTGAAGCGTTTTTTCTAAACTACCTAAATAATCAAATTAAGCCAATTTTGTTACTAGTTTGTGAAGAGCCAATTGTATCTACTTTTACTCTATAAATTCAAATCCTCAATATGATCACCTTAATATAATTGAGCATTAAATACAATAGTTCAATCAATTAGGCACTGTAAAATAACCCTTTTATAAAATCAATTTACCTTCTTTTCACCGCCCTTAGGCACATATTTATCGTTCTTGGCTTCTATTCTCGGCGCGGCCTTAATTTCGACCTTTTTGGTTTCTATTTTCACGTTTCCTCCACCGGGCTTGTAATTAGCGTTGTCCAAGGAGCCGATCTTCGATTTGACCACTTTCAAATTCGGCGAAGGAGCGTGTCCCACTTGAACCTTATTCATCGGAATTTCTGAAAAATATCCACCAAATGATCCATCTTCTTTCCTCAGCGAGGTATATTTAGGGAAAATAAATTGCTTTATAACGACGACATATCTTAATGAAGCTGTTATCGCCAGTGACCTGTTCAAAATTGACTAATTTTTACGCTCCACGGCTCGTGAGATTTTCAATTAACGTTGCAAATTTAATGGTAATGTGTATATTAGAATTATAATTGTACCTAATTTTAATTGATAAAGTAATGAAACACAGTACATATCTGTGGAGGTTTAAGAGAAATGATGGAATGTTCAGAACGATATGTGGAGGCATAAGAAAAGAGAATAATATAGGTAATTGTAGAGAAATAATTGTCTAGGCGGTGATAACCAAAGAAACTACAAAGATATTGGAACAAGAGGAAGGAAAATATGTGACTATAAGATCGAAGAGAACAACGATAAGGGTGTCAAAATCAAAATTCTCTAATACAATACACTTACTCTTCTTTTCTGAAATCGAACCTGGAGTGGTAGCGTTCGAATCGGGGCTCTTCAAGCTGGGCGACTTGGAGCCTCTGGATAAAGACCTAGCTACCGGCGTCGATGACGAAGTTCTGGATTTGGAATTCTTCCTCGGCGATCTAACGTCGCCGTTGGTCGACGATTCCTAAATGGTTTAATAACGAATACACCACGATTACACTATTTATTAACACTTACGTTTCCTTGGGTGGATTCATCTACGCCGCTATCGTTGTCCCCTTCTGTAACAACAAGAAATATTTAAGTGAACGATTTTAATGATAATATTAGTCCTGTTAAGATTTAAAACGGGTACAGACATTGTTGAGCAATACTTGAGAAGTATATTTATAGAATCTTCTCTTTGCAGAAGCATTGCCCGACAATTTTGCTCCGCGTGTTCAAATTTAGAACCAATAATAACCTGATTTCTTCGATGACTTGACTCTGGGCGATTTGTTAAGATCTAAATGTTTATCGTTTTTGTTAGGTTTCTCTTTAGTGGTCTTGTCTTGTTGGCTTCCGCTGGGCGGCTTGTCAGTTAAATCAGCAGTCAATGTGCTATCCGGTGCGTGGTTCTTACTCAAATTCGCGCTAGTATCAGCGCTCTTCTGCGACACGTCCGTCAACGAGCTCGATTTATCCTCGTCTTCCACGATTTTGTTCATCCTCGACGCCGATCTCGATTCCGGCCTCGACGGCACCTCCTCCTTCTTATCCAAATTATCCGATGAACCCCACGAATCCTGCCTCGACGAAGGCCTAGACGGAGGCTTGCCCTCCCCGTAGTTATCCACGCTACTAACCGACTTCCTTCTGGCTTCCTCCCTGGAATCCACGTGTATCTCCGGCGCGTTGGAGCTCAAGCTGTAGCTCCTGTTGTTCATAGCGGCTATGGAGGGCGCCTTGACGAAATCCTGCGGCGCGCTTTTGCCATCGTCGATTCTAGAAGGTTCAAGCTCTGACGAATCCAGAGTTTGGCTTCTGACGATGCCTTCCTCGGGGATCGGCGGCCTCGTATTGCCGAACGCCGGGACGGACCGCTGCTGGAAAACTCCCGGAGGCCTCTGGTTCGGTACGGGAGGCCTGGGAAACGGCGACGACGGCCTGAAACCGGCTCGTTGCAGATGCCCCGGGAACGGCTGACCGGGCGGGACGCCGGGCAGTAGTCCGGGCGGACGTTGTTGGCCGGGCGGCGGCGGCGCGGGGACCCGCTGCGGGAATTGCTGCTGAAGGGGCGGTCGCGGCAGCTGCGGCCTGGGCGGCACGCCTGGGGGTTGTTGATTGGGGAACGGCGGGCGATAGGGGAAGCTTGTTCTGCTGTCTGTTCGACTTAGAGGGCGTTGGGGTTGGCTTCCCGGCGCGAGCGGTGGTTGAGATCCGTTTCCAATTTGTTGTTTTTGCTAGTAAAAGTATTGTTTTAATAAGTATATCGCGCTGTACACGATAGGTAGTACGCTTTATTTAAAATATCTGTGATAATGATAAAAACTATACAGTTGTTTGAATCAAAGTGCTTGAATTATTTTGCTTGTAGGTAAATGTACATTAGTCACCGTTTGAAACTCCTATAAAAATACTTTAGTTTCACCATATAGAAGTTATTCGAAACGACTGTATCATTGATTTTGAGGTTTATTTGTTTTGCGTTGTCGATGCGAAACTTTCGTGTTTGCAGTGTAATATAAAAGTGTATATCGCGTAGTAAAACCGAACTGTAATTTCCTGCAACTAATGAGGCAATTTAGGGCAATATTTATAAAAAATACGGCGAAATTTAATAGGCTAATTTAAGGCAGTTTGTTGTGTTTTCGTTAATTTTATGTACCGAATATATAAGATAGAAATTGTATTTTTTAATACAAAGCTTTAAAAGGGTACCTAATATTATTGCTCCACTGTCGATATCATAGGCACTTGGACGCTAAAATGTAATTTTTAATAATGAGAAAACTGTAATAATTACCTATATTATATTCAAGCGAATTTTTGTCCCAATTCTTGCACCTATACATTTCGATTTTATTGGCTTTTGTTGTATCCAATACACCCCTATAAAAGTAATCTAAGGAGTAGGTAATATTGACTTTATATTGGGATGGTACGGACTATCGAATAAATCGTAATAAATCAAAGTCGGTTTATTTTTACGTAAATTTTTCTGTTTCATGCAAAGGATATTGACTCGAATATGAATGAAATTAAACGAATTATTACCGATGATTATTGGTATCGGATCTAATTGGGTACCTACTAATTTTTATGCATCATATAATTATAAAATTAACGGCTTATTTTTGTCTATTTCCATGTGAATTGGAACGAGTTCGAGGTCGGGCCGGAACCTTTGCTATAAACATTTATGTAATGTGTCAAATCAAATAGCTTTCCTGTTATCGTTTTTTATCAGATTTGCATTGATTTGTTTTCGTTCTTTCACTCCTGCTATTATACGTGTTATCAAAATATACCCGACGCACGCCAACTCAACCCAATAAAGCCTCGTTTCAAATTTACCTAGTTTAACCGCGTTATTCCCTAGATGACATTACAACACTTTATATCTCGAGTTCTCGTGAAATCTCGACAATTAACAGCATTATTAGTACGTATGATTTAGCGATAACATTGCCATAAAAGTAGAGGGAAAATTAATCAATTTAGTTCGAGTTCTATTGCATTGTTGTTCTCGATGGATAATTGCATCAAGGGAAATTAAAACGTTCATGTTCATTAAAAGTTGATCCGCGTTTTCGAATCTAAACTGTTATTGACGTATCGAAACCTCAAACTTGGATTTTACAACCGAAACTCCCAAACCGCAAAACCTCAAGTGCAAACTAACTTTGACGTCTCATTTTTCGATGCGGAAAAGGCAAAATATAAATTTTTAACTTCGTGTTAGGGGTGCGTAAACTACCCCATTGTTTGAACTGAAATCGATATTCATTTCGTCCTATTTTTTTTGTCTCTAATAAATTTACATAATATTCGAAACTCTCCAAGAAGCCACCTCTTTCTCGGTCGTTATTCCGTTATTCTTACCATCGGAACTTTTGGAACCTGGCACTGTCACTTGGGCGCGTTTGAATGTTTGTGACTGGGAGATTTTATATGTTTATTAATGGTGCATTTTTGAACGAGGTTTTATTGACGTTTTTTCTTGATTAAAAGTATCGACGTATAATATGTTTCACAAGCCAAACAATTTCTATGATACACACAATGGCATAAAAATGACGAGAAAAATTCTTTTGAGCGGATACAGCACAATTACCTATTTTTCGATATCTAATAATCTTACCATATCTTTGATTTCTTCCTTTGCTGGTTCTTTATACTCGACCGTAGGACCATTTTGTTGTGACATACTCTAACAAAAAGTCAAAAAACCATTTTTATTAAAGCTCCTTTTTCGAGCCGGACTTTTCATCTATTCCTACGTTTTTTAATCAACTAAAGTGATATTGATCATCTACATACCTTAATGTTGTTTCTACATGAAGCGATATTATTACACAATGTATACCTATATCATCTAATAAACTAACCGTTTGTGCACTAACTTTATCGGAAATTAACGACCAGACCTCTAAGTTTGAACAGGAGGGTTGATTAATAGATTGTCTACTAATCTCCACCCCAAACAAAAAATAAACCACCGTTAATCGCAATTAATTTTCGCTTTTAATTTTTAGCAGTAGTTATAAAGTTTGCCTGTTAGTTCAGTAAGAAGAATTTTACTCAAAGTTATGCACCGCAAAATTAAAGTGCGGGATATGCGAGATTCTCTTGCTGCTTGCTCAGAAACTTTACGATCTATGGAAATTCCAACTGCACTAACTGGCGTGCTGGTGAGGCCTTTGAGTCGAATTCTTCGTTATTAGATATTCCCGAGCTGCTGATAAACGCGTTTTCGCTTCAATTCGGCCGGTCTTGCGTAAAGATATTCGATTAGAGGAAAATTACGAATGTGCCGAACTACGTTTGCCCATTATTCACAACGTCATAGGTGTTGTGAATGACTCTAACTCGAAGTTAAACTGAGTAAGATAACGAAGCGGATAAAATATTTGAGCTTTTGCCACACATTATGCTAGCATACTTTCGCCTCGAGTATGCGAATGTTTATCTACTCGATTCCTAACTACAGGAAAGCTATATGAGCTATGGTGATCTCGCAGTGACTGCTAATTTAACGAGTGCCTATAGTTAATTTTAATTTTTTAAAGTCGGATTTTGGTTATTATAAAGCGGTTGGTGTTGATTGTGTGTCAGTAAAGTTTTAAAATTTTCATCTTCTCGTTTATGCTTTGTACGAGAAGCAATAAAGGTTAATTCCCAATATTGATTACTAAAGGAATGAATGGCTGTAGGTTAATGTGCGTTAGATTTTTATTGCATGCTTATCTGAAATTAAATGGTAGAAAATACAATAATATAACTGACCATGGTCGAACACCTTAAGGTGAGTCTAAACACTAAAAATAGATTTGATCAATAAATTCCATTTTCAACGTTTTTAATTAGGTATGAATTTAATTAAATATGTATGCAATAAAAGACGAAGGGCAATGGGTATTTTTAAATGTTACTACATCGAAAATCGATGAATGTCTTCTTGTTTTTTCCCTATTTTATCTGAAAACTTTTCCATTATTTCCACGAATGATTATTTATTTTTTGAAATTCTGTTGTATCTATTAATTTGTTTCTGAAGATATTAAATATTATAGCATCATCTAAAGTGCCTATTCAAGCCAAATTGGTATTACTTTATTAGAAACCATTCTCTTATAAAAACGAAAATCTTATTGAACAATTTCCATCTACTTTCTTATCAATCAGACATTCATAAAACTTTCGTGCTAACGGCGATTTTCGCGCTGGAAAAGCGGACAAAGGAACGCTTGCGGGTGCATCCGATCATTGCGTGTGCAAAACGTATTCTCTGAGAGAGTGCACAGGTGATTGGTTACCTTACTCTTTACTCTTACCCCACAGCAAGAACAACCCCGAGTCAAAACAACGAGAAAGGTGGTTCACTGCGTTCGGTTTAGGCAACACTGACCGGCTGTCTGAATGAGCTAGAAAGAAACGAAAGCACCGGCACCCAGTGCGCTGGATTCCCATCGATCGGGGCTCCATGGAATCGCCGTCATAAGCGGCACGTCGTGGTGGTTTTTGCACTATTCTCCTATTTGCTGTATATCAATTACGCTGAAGCTAATTATTTATATCATCTGTTGGTTCGTAATGTAATAAGATAATTTTTTGGAGCTTATTCTCATGAAACTTCCAATTATTCTTTTGGTACAAGTTTAGTAGAAATGTACCCGACAAGTTTCTTGTGATTTAATTTTTAATCTTCTTCCGTTCTTTATAGTGATCTAATTCCGGATTTTATTCAGTTTTCTTAGCGATTTTTCTTACCACCAGACTTTTTACCATATTTCTCAAATTAAAAATCTCTACCAATTATTAAATTGGGATGGTACGGCTGTGCTCAGGCGATTATTAGAGCCCATCTATGTACTTTTCTGTACATTACATTGCATATGTTATCATTTTCTTACTGTTAATACTAGGCTCGACAGATATAGGGGTCTTATCGTTGTCATGTCATTAACTACTAATTTACCTACCACTATCAACACGTACCTCCGGCAAATTGTTAAAAAATAACGGCAATTTAAAATAAAATATTAATTGTGGAATCTAAAAATTGATTTCTAACTACACGTCTGCAACTTAAATTATGTTTTGCAAAATAAAAATCCAGTAGAGATTTAGAAATAGCTCCAGAAATGATTAGAGAAGATTCGGTAGGGACTTTTGATATTCCAGTTTTGATGAAGTAATTATTTTTTCTTGGATTTCTCCTATTTGCACCCTTGAAAACGACCTTATTATGTAACGAGGCACCCTTCGCTTGATTAAAATTTATCTTAGACATTCTCCATGAATTATCTAAAATTAGATAGGCCTTGTCGAACGTTGACATGAATTTTTAAATTATTCAGTAAATTAAATATAGGGTTTATTACGATTTCCAATCAATATTTCCCGATAATACCACGCAAGGCCTATATTTAAATTATTGATATAAAATATGGATAGAATATTTGGCGATTTAAGTAGGAATTAAGTGCGCTACAGAAGGTATTTCTTCAAGAAAATTTTTATTAAATTCATTTAGTGTTAATTTTTTCAGAAAAAGGCAAAGTATTTGATTAATCAAGGAAAAATGTAAGTACATTTTATCCAGATTTATCCAGATACCTTCACTCAGGTTTAAGAAAGTCCAAAGTGTCTAAAATCCAGTGAAAATTCAAACTGAGCGTTTTCTCTAGACAACCAACAATACACATTCGGGAAATCCAATAATTTCTATAAAGCTTTCTAGTCGTATTCGCATGGCTGGTTATATTCCCCTTACATTTATTTTCCATTTACAGATGTTTTTCCTCAGCACACTCTCTTGATTCGGATTAAATTTCCATCATATCAATTCCCATTTCTTCCCAAATATCTATTTCATAAGTTTCCTTTCCTCCCAGCCTATACCTAATTATTTTGTCCCTTTTTAATTTACAAGTACTCCTTATACTTCCTGTTGTGAGACGCAATTATAATGCCCTTTGAATGAAAACTAATTATTTACGGCATTGCACTTATGCTATTCTCCTTGAATAAAATGGAGCCTTGACACTAGATTCCAATTGATTGGTTATCGGATTAAACAGCATCGTCATGTGTGGATCAGTTATAAAAAGATGATGGTTAAAGTGTAGTTAAAGGTTTGCGCGGTTTAGGTTCCAGCGGGTGCGGCGAAATTAAATCATTTAAAGAATCGAAGAGAACAATCGTAGGTTTGATGTAATGATTTAAATTTGATAATTACGAAACGAGGGGAGCGTTTCAGATGCTCGACCGTGATAGCTTTGTCACGGTCATATTAATTCGCAGGAGAAAAACGTAAAAATGCAGTACATGTATAACATTTTCCAGGGAAAAAGCTTTTTTAAATTATTTTCCAGCGAGTTCACAAGAAAATTGCAGGGGCTTGTGTTCTTGAGTTAAGTGCTCATTTGCTTCTTTGACGAGTAAAGTGAGTTTGAATTGAATGCACATTGAATTCCCTTTGAACATTCTATGTAAAAATTTTAAATTAATGCTTGAATAATATTATAAAAACTAGTTTTGCTAATTATATGACCTCTAAAAATGTAGGTATTGGTGAAAAATTTACTGATATACAACTTAAAGTTGCTATGGGATTTATTTTAATTGGAATTTTAATAAGTTGATTAGGACTTAATTAGGCCGCACTTAACTAATCGGTTGGATAAATTCATAATTAGAATAATACAAAATTCAGTTGATAGCATGTGCGGAATATCCTCCTTTATTTGAGTTAAGGTGATTGATTAAAGTAAACCTTGAAATTTGGCAATACAAGATAAATATGTATGGAGATTTATAAGAAAAGAAAATTACGTAAAATTTGTTATCTATAATGCAGGAAAAATGTACCGGCGACATTGATTAATTTTTATAAATGGTAATTTTAAAAAACCCACAGAAAAACTTCTGTGAAAATTTGCTACAAATTCGAGCGAGAATTATATTAATATTCGTTATTATTAAATTTTGGAAACGTTCAAAACCATAGTTAAGACCATAGTTAAGACCAGAGTTAAGACTAACAAAATGTTGTTTCGGAAATAATTGCTAAAAATTACTTTCAATGTTAAAATTTTCTCTCTACTTTCATGAAAATTTTCTCTCTACTTGCATGCACAAAATTTTCTCTCTACTTTTCTGCACAAAATGTTCTCTCTACTTTTATGCACAAAATTTTCTCCCTACTTTTACTAACAAAATGTTCTCTCTACTGTCATGAAAATTTTCACTCTTTTTTCATAAACATTGTCTCTCGACTGTTATGCACAAAATTTTCTCTCTATGTCCCCTAATTTTCTTCTCCTTTAAAATTTTAACATTTTAGTTAATTAAATCAAAATAAAAGCATTTTTAAGGGCTTCGTGCCACCATCCAACTAAACAGGTAGTAGATGAGAGCGACCCCCTTTCAAATTTTAAAATACGCCCTAAAACGTCGCGGAAATTTCAGCATTTTTACGAACATTTTCATAGTATTGAACTCTAGTCTTAAGTAATTCTGGTTTCTAATTTCAACCGACTAACTCAACAGCCATCAAGGATGTCTGCTTACCTAATTCATAGTTTATACAGTTTTGTGTGTTATTGGTGTTAAGATTATATAATTATTTAAAACGTTCAGATGATGTCACGAGTTGCATATTAAATTAGATTGTGTACACACTTGTCGAATATCACCGCATTTTTATTATACTGGATTATACAAGAAATTGATATATTTTTTATAAGAGTTTTTTATTAACTACCAACAAATTGTTAAAAATTCAAAATAAATACTTTGATTCCAAAAATATAAATTCTGGCTAGGTAGAGAGTAAGTAAATAATAATTTTAACACAACTGACTTTATAGTTTTGTAAACAGATATGTATTAGGTTTATGACCGGAAAATGAGATTTTCTTTCTGTTCCAAAAATACAGCCGATACACATTTCGAAAACATCATTAAAAAACAGTTTCGCTTTATTATAAAAAAATAATAGCGCGTCTAAAAATAAGCTTCCTAGGACCCTTTAAATTGTTTGGCAAAGACGACCGACCGATATTCTAACAACAAACAACTAACGTGTTAACTTCTACCTACAAATACGTTGGAAATAATTGCAGATAGAATGACTCGACTCATCTAAATTAATCCAATCTGAAAATTATAGTGGTCGTTTAGAAATGACGATTCGGCTACCTATATCTAAATTAAATTAAAATCTTTGTGGCCTTTAATTAAAGTTTCAAGGGGTCGGTTGTGATAAATTTTGAAACCGTGATTTTGCATTTTTTAGTCATTTAGTGTCATTTGACAGTAGGTTATTTTAACTGTTGGTTTATAATACAACCCTAAAAGTATGTAATCGTAATGAAGGTAATAATTCTTTACTATAAAAGCAGTTCACAAATATAAACATCCCTTCTGCAAATGAATTTGTTTGCTTATTTTACGCTATTCTTGTGGTAACAAAATTATTTTATAGCGTGATTACAGGGATTCCAGGAAGACACTGTTTAAATCTCAAGTTAGTAAATGTTTTTTAGATTCTTGTAAAAAAATCCAGTCGCATTTTACCTAAATGTTAAACACATAAATAGTATTTTAATTACTCCATTAGCTTTAGGCATATTTTATAGCATGAATAGAAAAAAATCCTTTAAGATCAAGGCAATAGCCAATTGTCCATAAACTCCATAAGCAATACCATTTAGTTCAGCAATATTCGAGTAATCTTATTTTATTTTTATCGTATAGGTAACTTCACCTATACCTATTATGCAAGCACTATTTTTAGCCAGCACTCTGACCATTGAATTTGCAATAATAAAATCAGTCGTAAATGCTAAGTAATAAGACATGAGGTGAGCGAGATTATCATAAACAACGCTGTTTATTGTTTATTCCGTGGAGTATTTCCTACAGTGTAAAATTACTAAATAAGGGTATATTTAAAACGGATAAAATTATGTAAAGTTGTGATAAATATTTTAAGAAGCACTTTCTCAAGTCATCGAAAGGCACAAGTCATGCAATGCTCGCGTGCATGGATTTTAAGTAGAACAAATCCTGATATTTTCCAAAAATCAAGCAAAAACCGATTCGTAATATTATGTCATCGTTAACAAATATTAATGGCTTATAAAAGATAGAAGTTTGGTCGATTTCGATACAAGTTTTTATTTTTATTCTGCGGAAAAGGTTATTGGTAGATAAATAAATTCGCATTACGGAAAATTGGCTGTTTTCCTGGCAATTTTAAAATAGAGAAAATCGAACACACAAAATTTTTGCGTTGTTGATTATTATGTTTTTTGTTTTAATTATGTTATAATGGGGAACGTATATTTTTAGGAATTAATTTTGGAGCTACTTAATGAGCTCATTTTATTTTCGACATAATTGATAAAACAGATAATAAAGTGTACCTACACTGTATAATTTTATTATAAGAACAGCAAGGAAGTGAATTGAATGTACATAAAATGCCTGCATTAAAAGATATTATTAAAGCGATTTTTTTGATTGTTTGGATTCTTCCGAGAGTAGCAAAAGGAAATCAAAAATCGTATGTAAATTGTAAAATTATATTTATTTAAATAAACATTCTGAGCAAAATTTGAGTGGGTTTTCGAGTACAAGTACATGTTTTCTCCCACTTGTGCTTGCTTACACTTTTTATTAATGAGGAAAATTAATTTTCACTCATTTACACGACCAGAATTAATGGCACTGTTCTTTGCTATCACTTGTTAACAATTTGAACAAACACAATAATGTTTAATAACACTTATAAATCACAAACTTTCATTTTAATAGATTTACAAACATATTCACAAGTTTAACGTAGAGCAATAAATTGTCTATTATTATTTAGTAGAAGTGGAATTTTGGCACCAAAAAAATAGTCTAAATTTGAACACGGGAAAATTCATAATTACATTACTGTTTACCTTTACCAACACCTGAAATTTCTTACCTGTATTTCCATGATTCCCGTTGAAGTGTCTCTTATTATCAGCAACCACCTGATCCCCGATGAGATCCGTCATCTTAGCCCTTTATATTCACCACCTATCTACCCACAACTCACCAAAACCGTACCGAAAAACCGAACGAACTACCGCGGAATTCGCGACGAGGAAATTAAATTAATCGACGCTTATTTCGTCGATTATTCGCTGGATAAAACGCGCTCGGCGACGATTTTGACCAATCTCGACTGGTTCGCCAGGCGAGCGACAATATCTATCTATTGTTTTTCGGCTGCGTGAAGCGTAAAGCGGCGAGGAAAATGTTAAATGTTTTGAAGCGTCCGAAACGGGATTCGATCGAACGTCGGCGATCGCGCGGACGCATGAGCGCTGGATGCTGAGGCGTCGAGGATAAGGGATGCTTTTGTCGGGCAAGAAAGAGGGCGGCGGATCGAGGATGTAACGAGAACCCTTTGCGATAAGCGAACGAGAGGATGTGTACAGGATGTGGCTGTAATGGGATGAGGTAATGCAATGTGTATTATACTCCCTTCGCCATCAGGATGTAGTCAAAAAAGCTTATTTTGAATGCAAATAATAGCGGGTGACTCGATTAAAAAATTATAAAATTCCAATACTTTTATAGTTCTTTCGCTGAACTTACGCGGGTTTCAGATTAAGAGATTATTTATCGCGGATGATAGTAAATGGTGAGTTTCTTCCAGTTTTCGGATCAATTGCACTAAATGGGTTGGTTAATACTTTGGGATGTGAATGGTTGGATAATTTTAAGAAGAAAAGTTTTTACCAATCTGCATCCTAAACCTCTTAGTTTTCGAGCTACAGGGTGTGGCAATTTTAGAAAAAAATTTACTTTCATAATTTTTTTATTACCTACTAAAGATATTTTTATGAAATTTTGTACACACTTTTTAATTATTGTGGAGCATTTTTAGAGGCAAAAGATTTTTTTTTTTTTTGGAACTGAATATGTTTAAAGAAGAAATAGTACGCAACTACTTTTTCTAAAAACCAAAATTATTTTTAAAATTTAAATTATTACTATTACCAGTGACGTCTACGTCCGAAATTTCAAAAAAATGTCTAAAAATGAGTAATAAGAAAAGTATGATAGAAAAGGATTTTTTTCCAAAAACTCTAACACCCTGCAGCTCGAAAATTAAGAGGTTTAGGACATATATTGATATAAACTTTTCTTAAAATCATCCAAATATTCACACCCTGAAGTATCAGCTCTTAATTCTAACTTCCATTAGTCTGATGTAAGGGAGAAAGTAAGATTGATATAGTGGGATAGCAATTTTCTCACTGTTATTTTAATTTTCATATTGCAAACAAATTTGCAATTTTCTGCCTATTTTTTAAATATTTGTTGGTACGCTTATGGTTTAATGCTCCAACAAGGTTTTATTACTATCTTCTGATAGCGAATGGAGTATAAAATAATTAAATTGCTAACTAATCGTTTCTAGTACAATTTTATTGAGTTAATATTATAAAACCAAAAAAAAGTAATCTTTTTTTTACTCGAGACTATTACTCGTAATTGCTTCAAGACTATTTTCGATTGCGCTGATTTTCTTTACAAGTAAAATCAATGTTGAAATAAATAAATCAGAGAGATAGTAATCCTTTGATATTGTAATTTTTGCAACTTAGCTAGGTAACTGACAACCCGTTTTGCCTTACAGCCGCAACAATCCGATGAAATTTGTCAAGTATTTAGTCTTAAATTCTATTGAAACATCACAGTTTGCATTTACTGCCCTTCCTCGTAATGTTTATGTAGGGTTGCACCAACGGATACATTTCGTGATTGCTCTTGAACGCCGTAACGTCCTGTATCAATTTCGAATTTCCATTCGGTATCTCCGTCAAGGAGGCGTTGTCCTTACCGGCGCCACCATCCGCCATGGAAACCACGTGTACTGTCAATTTCTTCCTGTACTCGGCGTTTTCAGTCAAAGTATTCTAAAAACGGTAACACATTTAGCTCAAATTTCTAAACTATTAATAAAATTACCTTGAAGAAATCGAGAATGTCGTTTTTGGATAGCGTCCTTAGGTAGGCTACCTCAACATTTGCTCTGTCGAAGTGGTACTGTTGAGCTGTAATCTCCAACCACAATCGATTCGTTAAACTGTTAAGTTGTTTGGGTTTCTCTAATTTCTGCGCGGCAAGAGCTTCGCGGTGCCTTAGGAATTCCTCATCGTTAATTTCGTTCAAGTACTCCTATAAATTAACTATTTAATACCCCTCAAAACTAAAGTGTTATAGTACCTACCAACATACTAGCCATGAAAGCCTCGATTCTCGAATCGAGATACATCGGATGCCGGTCAGATTGCACGATTATCCTCAAACCCTGTACACCATTAGAACGCCTCACTCCGCTAAAAACAATGTACCCCAACTGCTCCTAAAGATCGAAATAAATTTCGCATTAATCTTATACATATAAAACGAACCACGCGCTTACCTTGGTCCTCAAAACGTTATAGCAAGGTTCCTGGATGATTTGAGCGACCAACTCCAATTTCACGTTGTTCTCTTTAGACTGCAAGCCGCATTGGTAATACAATTCAATGCACGACGATTTGTGAACCTCGTTTTGTACTACGTAGGAATATTCGCAGCCGTTCTCGAGTTTGAGCTCCCTGTTCAGGAGCAATTGCCTCGGCAACAATGGCGACATGCTCAATGTGTGAGTGAGACTGTCTTCGACGATCTGCACCAGCTCTAAAGCTTTGGCTTTGTTGGCGTTACCGTGGACTAAGCACTCGATGTGCATTTTCGATAGAACTTGCGGAATGAAGGCTTCCAGTCTTTCAATTGTAAGTTCTACAAAGCGAAAACAGCGTAATATGTTGGTATAGTTCGTTCAAGTTAAAGATGATGTGACGTCACAATAGAAAATATTGAATACACCATACTGAATACGAAGATTCTTATAATTTCTAAATCGCTTCCAAAAGATAGGAACTACGAGGATGTAAAGTTCGTACGTTTTAAAATGACTATGACGTCACGAACCAGCCTGTTGCAACGTTGCCGATTTGTAATTGAAATCCTTTATGTTATGACAGATACATTTAAGGTTACGTTTACGTTCATTGTTTAAAAATTAAAAGTCAGAAAAAAGAAAAATACATTGAAAAACTATCTAAAACGGACGAAAAATGCAAAACACAACCATTTAGAACTGTCAAGCATCATTTAGAACTATCTAGATCAATCCAGAACGCTCCAGGATCATTTAGAACTATTTAGAACCATTTAGAACGTCCAGAATCATTTAGGAACTGTCTAGAATCATTTGAAACAACCTAGAATCATGTAGCACGCTCCAGAATCATTCAGAACTATCTAGAATTATTTAAAACTGTCTAGAATCATGTAGAACGCTCCAGAATCATTTAGAACTGTCTAGAATCATTTAGAATACTCCAGAACTATTTAGAATCATTTAGAACATTCCAAAATGCAGTCAAATAGAGGAATTTTGACACTAACGATATGGCAACGATATGGCTTTAATAATGATACTAATATAGTTTAATCGACTATTCATGTCGTGACGTCCCCAACGCTTTAACTTGAACGTGTTTTACTATTAGTACGTACGATCGGTAGCAGCTAAAAGCTCCTGTTTAGTCCAAGAATGTTCAGTTAATAGAACAGTGAGGTAGTAAACTGCGTGCTGATAAGGTTGTTCGGCAGAGAAATTCTTGAGATTTCGAATATACTGAAAATAAACCAAACTCAACTCAATGTGAAATTATAAATGTTTGATAATTTAACAATTCTATAATTGAATTTACTTTAGAATATGAGGTATTAGTAGACGATTACTTACGGTTTCTTTGATTATATTAAATCTTTTCGGATCGATCTGGAAGGTAGTTAATTTTTCCATAATTTTCTTTAACAAAATATGTTGCTTACTGCTATAACCTCCGATGCCGAGCTAAAATAATAATAGTATATCAAATTAAAACGTAACGAATTATATTTAATGTTTACTCACTATCAAACCGTATTTAGTGTTTATCAATTCCCATTTTAAACCGGCCAGTTCGGCCGCGTAAGCGTATTCATTCAGGGCATCTTTGAACAATTGGACCAGCATGTGAGTGAGATTACAATTTAGAGGATCCAAATAAGCTAATGGGCTAAAATGAAGCGAATATTAATCGAGTTGTTCTAGGCAGGTTGAACTTAATTTACCTCACAAAGTCGCACATTAGATTAGCTTTCGGTAGCAAGAATTGATCGTCTTGTTTAAACCAAATTCTGGTTAATGCAGAGTCTTCTATGATAACTGGAAATTCTGTAATCTGTAACAAGTAACAAATATAAACATTAATTTAAAAGATTAAGGGTATAAGAACTTACATCGTGATCAATCGGGTATAAACTGAAGTCTGTCGGAATAAATTCGTTTTTTTCCGGCATTTTCAAGTCGGGGCAAAGACCAGCGTTTTGCCACTTCTAAAAAATTAAATGGTTATTAAAATTACTATAAATTTCATGTAATTTACTACAAACCATAATAGTTTTCTCGGGGATTTCGACTATTTTATACTTTGTCCCATACCAGGGTTCTGTTTGATCGAGTTCTTTTTCGTATTTCTTCGCAACCACTGATACCCTACAAAAGAATATCCACTATTATTACCCATAAAGAGTCAATGTGCATCATAAATGCATGAGGTAATGTGTAAATGTATAGTAAAATGTAAGACAACAATAAATTAAAGTACCTGACATTTTCCGGAACAAACTTCTTCCAGAACTTCTCAACCAGCTCTGGTTGCCATTCATTCAACATGTAATTAGCGCAGAGAACATTTTGCATAGGATATTCCTAGAAATTGGACAAATTACCACACAATAGTACAATTTTAAAACATACATTACTTGTAAGCTATGGACCAGACCCGAAATGTACGTCCTAGGTGATTCCTTATCTTTAAACCTAAATATCATTTGGCCTATGTTCTTATTTTCATCCTGAACCCATTTTTGAGGGCCTTCTTTTTTCAGCATATTCAGGTACTGAAATCGAAATACATTTAAACAGGAACTTAATAAACGATGTATTAGTTGCATACCTGAAATACTAGTTCAACGATTTCATCTACATGATCCATACCTTCTTCGGTCAAATCGACAGCCACGGCAAAGAATCCAATACCTCTCGGTGATGGTCTGTGACCAGCCACCAAACTGTTTGACCATCCGCGGGCTTTAAGTACGGATAAAATGCTTCCTGGACCTTCGTGACCCATCAAATGGCTAATATAATGAGTAGGCTAAAATATTAATAGGTAATTATTATCAATAAAATTTTCACTTATTGTTTGAATAAATCCATTGAAAGATTCATAAAAAAAGGAGAAGAAATTATTGACGCATTGACAGGAAGAGATATCCATGAATGACATATTCTTTATTGTTCCATGACCTGTAGATAATTTTTGACAGTTAACTGTCAACAACATAACCTAAATATTTTTAAATTACTTATCATTGTTTACCGTTTCAATATCAAAAAAGTAATAAATGAATAAATATGGAATTTACAGATGATTACGATCATTGTTCCCAAGACGTTCTATATTTTCCGAGAAATATACCAATTAAAGAAGCCGAAGATTTATATCAAGATTTATCGGAAGGCTGTAATTGCTCAGATAAATGTGATGCACAAATTTGTCCTTGTATTAAGAAAAGTGGAAGTTATTATAAATACAGTGATATAACAAAGAATGAAACATACATAATTCAAGAAAAAGACACTAATGCCCCGATTTACGAATGTAGCAGCAATTGTGCATGTTACACGAAACTATGCGGGAATAAACTGGTTCAATGCGGACCGAGGAACAATTTGATTGTGAAATTATGCACAAATCTGAACAAGGGATATGGACTGTTCACTTTAAATAAAATATACGAAAATAATTTTATATGCGAATATGCGGGAGAGATTATTACTGAACAAGAAGCCAGTAAAAGGTTCCGAATTTACCAGGATTCCGGAAAGATGAATTATATATTTTGTATTAACGAAACATTTGGCGATAGATTAGTCAAAACATTTATAGATCCTACGATTTATGGTAATATAGGAAGGTATATTAATCATAGTTGTCAACCAAATTGTAAGCTAGTGATAATAAGAGAAAACACTACCATGCCTATTTTAGCAGTGTTTTCCAGAAAAGATATTGAACCTGGCAATGAAATAACCTACGATTACGGAGAAGAGTCGAGCACAGACTCGACTGTATTGAGAAAACCTTGTTTTTGCGGTGAAGAAATTTGTAGAAAATTTTTACCGTACGATCCACATTTAACATAATATTTCAACTTACCCCGGATTTATAGAATTCTACTATATCTTCACTAGGAAAAACTATATTTAAGTTCCTAACATCTTTCACTGGAGAAACGTAAACTTTGGTTCGAAACTGATCCTCGGAGAATGGATGTTCCAGCCAAACTGGAGCTTCGACATTTTTATTTTCTACATTAGAAAATAATTCCACAACCATATCCTCAAGTTCATCTAAACTTTCTGTGAAATAAAATGTTTTTGTAAAGTATTTGTAAATAATGTGAAATTCACTCACCTTTTCCTAATACTGCTAAACTCATGATATTTGATGAATACCATTTGTTGTGAAATTCCAATAATTGTTTTCTCACATCGATGCCCTTTTCTTTAGGAATATTTAGAAGCGTTTGTTTGTTACCTAAAAATAAAGTATACATGAAAAACAAATGTATTAACTATTGTAATTAATCCAATCGAACCTGTTCCAAAGGTATTATAAGGATGGTTAGGATTAGCCAAATGTTTATCCAGTTGGTCTAATCGCCAGAGATCACTCGGTATATTCTTCTCGTGTTCTGAATTCACCGCATTGATTTCTCTTTCAGTTGCACTTTCAGTAAAAAGCGGAGCAATGAAAAATTGTGAGAACCTAACGAAACAACAAATTGATAGTAATGTTTCTATGCATAATTATCCACAATTATGTAACAGATTATTAGTTGAACAATGAGATTTAACAACTGATTAATTCCCCCAAAACTTTTCAGTCAAAAATTTTCAAACATGTAATTGATAAACAACAGGATTACCTATCAAGAGATTCTTCTAATTTTTCTGGCACCACATCGAAATAATAAACCGTGTGATCCACGTAGGTGGCTGCGTTAGTACCACCTCCATGTTCACTTAGGAATTTACTATAATCGTTCTCGTTGGGATATTTTTTGGTGCCAAGAAAGAGCATATGCTCGCAAAAATGGGCCAAACCACGAACATCCTTCGGATCACTTAAGAAACCTAAAAAATAGAACATTATAACTCAAAATGGCTTTAAAATGAATTAGTGGCTGTTGCAACTCACCAACGTTAACATCCATAGCAGCTGCTGATTTATCAGTAACCGGATCGCTCACCAGGAGCACCTTCATCAGATTCGTAAGTTCCAGCCCCCTGTACACCCTCTTGTCTTCTTCTGATTTAACTATGTCATCGTACCGTTTTAAAATTAAATGAGATTTCCCCATTTTGCTTCTAGAATTAATTTCTTTCACACTGCCAGCCGTACTGAAATCGAAAAGATACATTACATACAGCCAGGAATTAATCGACCTTAAATTTATTACCTATATGAAACAAATGTCGTCCAATTTTTTTTAATGGTAATTATTCGGACGAGTATTGTCGTGTTTTTTAAGTAATACATTCGAATACCTATTTATCCGTTGATGATTGTTTTGGTAATTGAATCGCTACTTTATAGTTCATCTAATGATCATTTACGTACATTTTTTTATAACTCTTTTGACATGATGACAGTGACAAGTATTTGACAATTGATAGTTCAATTACGCGTACGCAATCAACTTCGTACTACGTTCAGGTGACTTCCGGTGCATAGGCGACGCATCCGTTTTTAAAAAAGGGAGTATTTAAATAAAAAGTTAAAGTGCTTATTAATACTTTTTTGTATAATTGACACTTAGTTGAGTTAGAAAGTAACACAACCATGTAAACTAATTAGACACCAAATGAAAAAAGGAGTAATAATAAAATTTGTAATTGTTCTTATTTTAAATAGATATACAATGTTTTTAGTCACTTTGGCAAGAATAATTGGTTAAACAGATGCTCTATAATCAGGTATTTTAAGCATATAGAAGCTCAAACACTGATAGAGCGATTTTTTATTCATTACCCCAGACAAATAGGCAACCTAACAAACTTGAAATGGTACATACAAAAAACATATATTTTATTTAATTGTTTCCTATAGATATGACAATTTTTATCTGAAAATTTATTACCTAATAAAACTAATTATTAAATGTACTTATAACTGTTTTTTTTAATCGACTGTTATAACGCGATTTTTATATCTTGTCCTAGTTTCAAGAGTATAATTATTCAGCGGTGAACTATTGGATATGCAAACGTGTAACCCACACCTATTTCGTTTAATAAACCCATAAACATCTGTTGTTGAAATCGTTACAAAAAAAGGTGGATTCTTTTACCACATTATAACGTTACAGGAGTGTCAGAAGGTAAAAAAACTAGGATAAACTATTTGATTTTTTGCAGTAATATTGCCGAAATTTCAACAGGAAAACAACATAAAATTTCAAATGTTTTAAAAACAATAACGATCAAATATTTTGAATTCGAAATTTCAATCTAATAATAAATATTATTCAACCCGTACGTGCGCGTTTCTAAAATAATATTGAGCAGGAATAATACCTGCAATTGCAGTAGACAGGTAAGTAAAACGACCGCGAGACAGGTAATTGTTTTAATTACAGATTTCCTGGTGTATTTCCAGTAAAGAAGGAATCAAATTAAAAACAATTAGTTTCAAAGAATGATATAGTCGAATGATTGAAAATGCCTTATTCTACTACTTATTTCACTCTAATTTATTAAGAGGTACTTTTATCTATCAGATGAGTTCCCCTATCCATTTAGCATCACAAGAACTTTATGTACAAATAATATGACGGAACATCGTGCTTTACGTACTAATAAATAAGCACAACGAGCATCACAATAAGGACACTCCTTTGAAATGCTTTTTGACATTTACCTAGTTTGTTGGCATTTACCATTCAGTTTTCCATGTCATGCTGCCACAATGATATTCATGTATCTTATGTATGTAACTTATGTAATGTAAATGAAAATCTGCTTACAGATCGACAGGAATAACTGTAGACGTAATATGTTTATTCTAAAGTCACGCAGGTCATGTCCACATGTCTACAGTTATTATGGAAGCGTTGTTGTTCATTTAATTAAGTTATTCATATAATTCCGTTCAATATTAAGAGATAAAAAAGTGGATTTAAATTATAGGTAGTCGTGTCATCGACATCACATTTATTATTCAACATGCTGGTAGGTATAGGTCTCATTGTAGGTACCGATTTTTTTTAGATCCTACCTACTTTCCTGCATTTTTTACGATATCACTGAACTAATCAATATTTTTTACACACCTACTATTTATACATTTTGTATTGTTGTATCTTAATAAATTTATCATCATATAGTTTGGGATTTGGTTAGTTCAACGACCATTATTTTGGAGGTGTACCACCTATAATTAGGCTGTTTTGAAAATATTTTTTTCCTTAAATGACAAATGGTTTTACATATAATTAATCAGAGTAAATTCGTTCTTTTCAATTGATTTGTGTATTATAAAAGTTTCGATACAAGTGTTCGATTTGTAATGGTAGCGTAAAACCCAAGTTGTAATTTATAATTTGCATTTTTAAAAATTGATGGGAAATTATTGAAGGTATTCTGAATTTTTAATGAGCATTAATACAAATACGGTGGTTATTACACGATTTAAATCATATGTATTTCCTTTTCACGGATTAGTAAACAAGTTATAAATTACTCAAAGCAAATTATTTAAACTTTTTTAATAACAATAACGATAATATCTATTATATTTTAATGACTTTGCAGAAACAATAAAAAATGTATGCAAGATTCATTTTTTACACGATGCGATATAACAATTAGAAGCATAAATCATTTCGGTACCAATATTTATTCAGAGAAATTTGTTAAGGTAAGTAATAATTCAAAATTAATACATATAAAAATAACAGGGAAAATTTTAAATAAATTAACACGTGGAAAAATATTAAACTGTTTTAAAAGTTTAAATAAAAGTGCAGCTACCTATTTATTCCAATTAATGTACTAAAAAGCGAAGAATTTTTAAATGATATTTGCTGTCATTATAGATAATAAATTGATAGCATAGCCATTATTTGAGATATAAAATCATTTTCATGCTCTTTGACAGAGATAACAAAAAGTATAAAAATTATTACTCGCACGACTGAAAAGTTATTATCCACATTTCGTGTAAATATTACCAAGCAATTAAAAGTCAATTACTGACAATTTAATCTTTCATAACATTATGAACATTTTTTATTACCTACTACTAGTACAAATTATATTTGTATATTGATATGCCTAATATACTTTGTAATTTAAGTTAAGATATACCATTTTTTAATACTAACATTACATTTTGGGTTTCTACCCTCTATTTTATCTTAAACTCGTTCCTATCAAATTTTAATGAAATGATCTATGAGTTTTTAAAATTTATCTCAATATAAACCAATTTTGTAACAAAAATGAACATCATATAAATATTACCTAAAAATCTTCTAACTAAACGTAAAATTTTTAGTACTTATACCAATTTTTTGGTGAACTTTAAAATGAAAAGTAATTTAGAGTAGAGCAGTTTTGTTTCAGTATCAAAACGCCCGGCAAAAGTTACAAAAAATTTAAAAATAAGTAAAGCAATAAGAGTTTCGAATTTCTTTACCTATACAGATACTATTTTTCCAAGGAGTTTTGTAAACATAAAATCCTACAGAATCTAATATTCTAAGTATAAAAAATAACTTAAATTACTTACTAATTGTAAAGAGTAAATCTTGCCATCGCATCCCCGGTCATGATTCTGCAAAAATTACAAAAAAAAATCGGTTACCCGATGCACTTCACCGCGTTCATTTTAAATCAATACTCACAAATAAATAATTAACGAAAATTTACTGGTCGTTAGTCGCACTAGTCGTATCATGTTAATTAAATAATAAATTAAATAAAAATCGTTGATAAATAAATACAAACGCGAGCGGAAAAATCGGTATTTACGTTCGAGAAATACTATGCGTTTTAGCGAATTTTCATACTAGATATAGATGCATCATACGTTAGATATTGCTAAAATAGAATCGAGAGGAGAAAGCTACCATACGCAGGAAACGGACATTTCAATAATTGCGACCATGCCCGATACCTGTAACTTTTAAACGTACACTGAAAAATAAAATGCCTACTAAATACTAATATATAGATATATTCAGTAACTGTTCGAGAGTAACCAACTTCAGGTACCGTAATTTTTGAAGTGAACGATTTGAATATTGTATTGTATAGTCGCATTCGTCGAATAAATTAGTATGTCAAATGGGTATCCAGGTACCGATATACAACTATATCTGGCTTGTTATTCCACAACTTACTTCAGTTTCATTGTTTTTTTAAATATATTGGAATTATACAGTGTGATTCTTTGTGTTGTTCCACTTATGCATTTTTAAAAACCGACAGAACGCTAGTTATTTATCTAGCTTATTAGCAAGTAGGTACTTTACTCTTTGTTAGCTTTTATAAAGTCACTTCCATTAAGTTTGAATTTGTATTAAAAAAGAAATTTGAATGCAAACATCCTGTATTTCCGAAGCATATCTGGATTATATTCCAGTAGAATTCCAAGCATTTTTTTCTTTTTAGTTAGGTGAAGGTAATCTATTTTAATAGCAATGGGTATTTTTTTGAAGTATACTTATGATATTTTTATACCTAACTACTCGAACATTCATTGTCTGTTTTTCTTCATTAGGTGGATAGATTATCTCAAATTGCGGTATTTTATATTTTACATCATTAGTTCCGTACTGTTGGACGTATTCGCAAACGATTAAAATTTGTTGATATGTGAAAATAACCAATTAAATAATCAGACTAGATATTAATAAATTGTACTTACTCATAGTCACGCATAAACATCAACCTCATCAAATAACAAACTTTAAAATCAAAATATTCCTTACCTATAGTAATGAATTACAAGCGGTTCTAGGCTGTATAATTTCCGAATTATGTATTATAGTAATTATAATTTCAAAATTATACGGAATTGACAAAAATCATTCAATTTTAGTCTATTTACCATACCTATAGTATACTATAATTATGATCTAGTTTAGTAGAATGTGTGTTAATAGTAATGTAAATTCTAGAGAGAAAAGGTTTCAATAAATATAATGAACACTTTAGAGAAAAGCGGATATTTTAATAATAAAGGCTTTAAAGTAATAAAAAAATAATTCAACGAAAATAAAAAAAATCCGCCCGAGCAGGGACTTGAACCCTGGACCCTTGGATTAAAAGTCCAATGCTCTACCGACTGAGCTACCCGGGCATATGCTGAAACTTCCTAATATAGTTTTTTATATACAATCTATACAAGAAGTATTTAAAAATTAACAATGAATGATTCCACTAACGTTCTCAAGAATAAATCATAAATTAATATGAAATGCTTTCAAAAATGAAATTAATATTTTGTTCTACTCATATTTTTTTAAAACTTAAAAAACTCAGAAGGTCCCACCGAGATTTGAACTCGGATCGCTGGATTCAGAGTCCAGAATGCTAACCATTACACCATAGGACCTTGAAAATATCCTTCAAAACTTAGGTATTTAAGGTTAGGAGTACGGAAGTCAAAAAATGTTATTGATTTATTTCAAAATAATACATTTCTTCAAAAAAAATATTAAAATTTAGGAAATTAATCTAACTCGAGTGATTTTTAATTTGAAATTATGATAAAGGATAGTATATTCGATGTTCATATGAAAAAAAAATTACAAGAAGCATACAAATTGAACGTATAGAAATTGTATTTAATCATTACTTTTTAGTTTTAACATGCTAAAATGCACTGTAAAACATAAACTGCAATTTTTCAATGTTTTGTTGGAATTTTAACTCCCAATTCTTCTGTTTTTATAATTTCATATAGAATTTGTGTGTTGTGTGAAATGTCAGGTAATCTGTCAAAATTTGTCCTAATTTGGAATTTGGTTATGTTTATCAGATTTTCAGATTTTGACATTATATTTATTTGAAAACATCCATCAGTTATTTTAATATTAATCGTGGTGCAGCTTCCATTGTGCAAAAAATGAATGCAAACATCTAAAGGAAACCAATGAAGTATTAAGTAACATTCCTTAAGTTACATAAATCTCTTGTTGCAACTTCTCCTATTTCCTCACCATCATGCCGAAATTTTTCTCAGATTCTATTATTTTCAATTACACATGGGACCAAGTTGCGCAGGGCTTTTGGAAGAGGTATCCAAATCCAAACAGGTAAGTTTTCCATTTCATAAGTCACGTCTTCACTTCGAATGGGTTACCTCTGAATAAAACCATTTATTTTCTTTTAGTAAGCACGTGCTGACGGAAGACACGGTTGTAAGAGAAGTACGAGCAGGCAAACTATTTTCCAAGCGTCTTTTGAGCAAGACCAACAGCATTCCAAAATGGGCCGAACGATTCTTCCACGCAAAGTCTGTAAATATTATAGAAGAGAGCATCGTCGATCCTGTTAACAAGATTCTTGTTACTTATACCAGAAATTTGGGCTTTGTTAAAGTTATGGTGAGTAGAGCTTTATTAAATTTGCAATGACAAATTAAGAGAACAAAGGTGATCAGCTAAAGAGCACATCAGTTACCAACAGTGACAAGATTTTTTAATAAGAAAGTAATCTGTTGTTGAAATAAGAGCAAGCATAAATGAACATAAAATCGTATTATGCACAAACTGTAACCACAATAACGTAAGCTTTTATTTTGTAAATAATATGGTTCATTAACTAAATGTTTTTTATTACATCTATTCGCCACAATTGATTATAAACGTCGTTTATGCATTTAAAAATCTTCGTTTTTAAGGTACTTCTATTTTTAATTGTAATTTATAGAGTGTGACGGAAAAAGTCATTTACAAGGAAAGTGAAGAGCACCCAGGGAAAACCGTAGCCTTAAGATACGCTTGGATAGACTCCCAAGTGAAGGGTTTCAGTCGAGCAATTTGTGCATTTGGGTACGACAGGTTCAAGAAAAATTGCAATAAAATGGTAAGTATTTGTATTTCTTTATTTACCTACATTACTCATATATTTTGACTCATCTTTTTAAGGTATCTGGTTTCAACCATGTGCTGGCAAATTTATATTCCTCTCACAGTCCAATACCTTCGTCGTACGCCACTGTAAAGACAACAACAAAACTTAAAGATGCAGCTAAAAATGCATCGGAATTGGCCAAGTCTAAAGCAGCTCCAATATATGCTTCATTACATCCCAATCAATCATAAGCAGTACAGTTGTAACAACATTGCCACGTTGACACCACTATATTGACTCTAAATGTATAAAATTTTTCAGTAAATAGGCTTTTCTTTCTGTACATTAAAAAATGAAGTAACTGTTATGAAATTCGTTCTTAGTTGATAACTGAAGGAAAATGGTTTAATTGATTAGCGCTTATTTTCATACATTTTTAAGTAAAATAGCCCGAGAGGATAAATTAGATTAGTCTAGATTCCAATGTTGTTATATCAGGTTTTTATTGTTCAATGTCGAGGAATTTAGCTTAAATCTTTCAAATACTTTTGATATATTTTTTATTGAACTAGTCATACCAATTAGTGTATTATGATGTTTGTAATACTTTTATTATTAAATTCATTTTTGTAAATATTTGTTACCCGGGAAAGTAGATAATTTTATTAAATTATGATTTAAAACTCGAAAAACAGGGAATATTTCGATATGTTCGATTGTATTTAATATATCAATTAAAACATGTGTATTTACAAATGAAATGTATAACTATCATCAATTTTAATGCATTTTTTACTCTCAACAATTTAGTTAACAATAGGAATTTGGATATTAGTTAGGTTTTTAAATTACCTGTAACAATAGAAAATATAAACATGTATCCAATACTATAAATAAAATAAAACTATCACCTATTCTTAACGATTCCAGTATTTCAAAGATATCCTCGTTTAAATGATGATGATAAAGGGAAAAGTAGTGCTCTAGCGAACCTCCAGCTGCTTGCATAATTATTTCTGGTCCCCCAGGATGTTCATCAATGTAATCTGTAATATCGTACACTCCTTGTTTGTAGTATACCCAAACTCTAGTTTTTCTGAAAAATTGATATTCACAAACAATGAAAATGTAACTCGATCGGAGTTGAAAAAATTACTCTGTTTTATGTTTTGCAACCTCCGCTATTGTATAAGAGGGTAAGCCTTTTTTGAATTTGCCTGCTTCTGCACTACCTAAAGAAATAATTTATCATGTGTAATAAAAAGTATAATGGGAAAATGAGTGTACAAACCTAATAAAATTAAATTAAATTTGACCAAAGCACTTCTATTAAGACATTGTTTGTTCCTGACAAAGTTGCAGAATTCTTGCCTCTTTAACGATCCATAATTTCTACTCCAATTAAAACTAATCACTTTGAAAATATTGCAGCTTGAACTAAAGTCGGCACATAATCTCGATAAAATTCTGAAATGTACATAGCAAATAAATGCATGAATATAAATTATTGTTTATCCTACTTCCTGGAAAATGCGCACATAAAAGGAGTTTAATTTACAACATTATACCTTTGACAAAGTAACATGCTTTCTTTGACGCATTAGTGCATTACTTCAAACATTAAAGGTAATTACGAATTATTAATTTTATCCTATTCTTGATTGAAGGTGAAAAAACCTTATTTAATGCTCCTATTTCCTTATTTACGCCAACTTAATTTTGACCTTAATTTATAATTTATTCATCAAATACCGATAAAACTACCATAAACTGTGAAAAATATATTATATAGTATTTAATTACAAACTTGCGAGTGCTCTTAAGTAGTATTTAACATTAATTGCGAAAATAAATATAGGTAATTTATAGATATAATTTCTTTTTGAGATTATTAGATAATTTATAGATATAACAATTCTTCCTTTTGAGGTAATTATAGGAATTATTTTGAAATCAATCAACGTTTCAAATTCACTTTAACTTTGTGGTAAGCATTGCTCAAAACTCCACGCAAATTCCAGATATTTTCGACGCTTTCCGGCTGCGTGTTGTAACTCGAATCGACAGCTTTTGCCCAAATTTCCACCTAAAATTATACTTTTAAATTTCCTTTCTTGTGTTCAGACGTGCTACTGTGACAAAAAAGTACCCGGAAATTTAATTGAAATAAAACGCAAAATTCCTAATCCTTATTAATATTTCTTGAGTGTTCTTCAAAATATGTTCTTCAAAAATACTCCTTTTGAAGCCATAAACACAGCCTTTTCCTTTTTGGACGTACGGCCATTAGCTCCTTTTGTGAATTTCCTTCGATGGCATTTATGGATTCAAAACGGGATCCCCAAAGTGGCAATTTGAGTTAAGGAAATAAAAAAAGTCGCACGAGGCTAAATCTGGTGAGTAAGGTTTGAAATATTTTGTGTTTGAGTTTGAAATATTAAGTGCAGGTAATTTAAATCAGAATTTCCGGGTACTTATTTGTCAGAATAATGTATACTAACATTTTTAGATTTTTTGTCCACAGGTATCTTGACGGTCCAAATTGTCCAAGCCCAATGTTGTGGAGGTAAGGCGGCGTCTTGATGCTCGAAATTAGCAACATGCCACGATTTTCCTCCATCCACCGTTACATCAACTCTGACAATTTTATGACCGCCTCCGGACCAAGCATAGCCTATAACAAATCCCAACAATATATCACCTGCCGCATTTTCGTATATATTATTATTACCTTTCACAGTAATTTTATCTTGTTCTACTTTAACTGTGCTACCCTCGGAGGGTTGGCAAATGGCCGATATTACGGGCAGTTCTTGGATAGCCGGGGATTTCGTAAAATCTACTGTATCCCAATCGGTCGATGGAGAAAACCCTTTGTAATCGTTCTGTTGCCAATGAGAATCGCTTTCCTTATCCGACACAGTTATTTTTTCTGCAAATATAACTCTATAACACTCTCTAATCTGCGATAACTTACCTAAACTGCGATAACTTACCTAACCACTTTACATTTCGAGCCCCAACTACACCGGGTACAATAACCCTTATGGGGAACCCGTGATCTCTAGGTATAGGTACCCCGTTCATTTCGTACGCTAATAAAACATCTCCTCTTTTATCTAAAGCTCTCCAAATTGGTATCGAAGCTCCGTACATTTTTCCTGTTACGTCCGAATCGCCTCCCTCAAACTAAACTTATTATTATAGCAAATAAAATAGATGGATTGGATAAATTTTTACTTGAACGTGTTTAAATTTATCGTCATCCTCTTTAAGACCGGCTGATATCAAGACGTCCCGTAATGGCACTCCCGTCCAGGTGGCTGTTCCAATAGCTGCGGGGCCCCAATTTAGTCCTTTTACTGGTTTGTGCTGCAAATTCAATTGAATATTATTCGGAGAATATTATAGTGTGTTAGTTCACCTTAATCATATCACTTCTTCTATTTCCCGCGCACATTATGGTCGCTGTAATCGTTTTTTTCGGTAATTTCTTCAAATCTTCTAAACGAAACGATTTGGTTTTCTTTACACCCTCTATTTCGATTTCTAATTCGTACGTTTCGGCTTTTAAGTCGGGCACCGGTAGATGATTTCTTACATAAAATAATTCACTAAAACGTTTCAATCGGTGATTAATAGATTTTTTTAGCTTTGTAGTACGTACTTGCATGAAATAACAATAAAGCTGATGATCGTGAAATATGCATGCATTTATCAGGGAACAAATGAACTAAAAACAAATTGAATTAGCAGAATAAATTAATAATCGTGATGTATGTGATACATATTAGAGGTTTGTGATAAATTTATATTCTTTGGCAAGGATGTGTATGTATGTAGACTATATTTTTCGCGTTTTATTAGTGTGAGTAATAAAGGAAGTGCTTACTTAGGAGTAATGAAACTTTGGATTAGTAATTCCGGTGGTAATTCAGCATTGAAGGGTTTCTTGCTTGCTGGTTTTAAAGCATTGTGCCTTTTAGGTTCGTTGAAGTACGGATCGGTCATATCTTTAGTCAAATTGTTGCATTCATCTTTATTTAAATTGCCTGAAATTGGTGTGACTTGAATTGTTTGCTCTTATGTCTGCGAATTGATTGTCTTACCTATTCTATAGCTTTCGAGGATTTTATATACATGAGGGTTTTCGTGAATGCTGTACAACAACCAAAAAGGTTCCACAGAACTACCGGCTGCTAACAAAATCTGGTCACCACCGGGATGGGTGTCTATGAAATTGGTGATATCGTAAACTCCTTCTTTGTACGTTACCCATATTCTTTTATCCCTGTAAGCATAAAAATTAGTATTTTTTGGTAATAAGGAGGTAGAATTACACCTTGTCGCATGAGATGATATATCCTCCAGGTTATAAACAGGTAAATCTTCCTTAAAACTTCCAGGTTCATCGTTATTGTACTTTTTAATCTCTTCGGCAGATACTAATTTAGATTTTTCTATAAGAACAATAGCATTGTGTGTCAATCGATTTCAGTAACATAAATGTGTGATAAATCAAATGTTATTTATTATAGGTAAAGTTATCTTATCTTAGATTCTGATTAAACGATACATGACATATGGATTGACTTGCCTGTTATTGGCAGTTAAATTTTAAATTCAAAAATAAACTTTTGATGAAACTGTAACGTACCAATAAAATAGTAACCTATACATCCTCCTACCACAGCACCCAGAAGAATATTCCTTGTACGTTTAAATGATTTGTTTTCATTGGAAAAGTTGTGTTGTTCTTTATTTAATTCGTGCAGACCACAACATTGGATTGCCTGAACTCCTCTTCGTTTTATCTCGATGGTAGTAAACCTAAAATTAAAATATAATAGTAAAATTGATAAAAGCTGAAATAGAAGTAACGAAACCTCTGTAATATTCTGTACATGCTTGGTTCAGTGGCAGATAAAAATATGGATAGATAAGAATTCTAACAGTTTTTGCAATTAGGGGCTAATACCTTTTTGCTTTTAAGATAACGACAATACAATACTGTTAACCAGTATTTCTTCTATAAATAGAATGTTCTTGCGAAAATTTAAAGAGATAAGTAAAATTTATTGCTAAATAGTAAATATTTTATTTGATGCTTTAACCACAATTTGTAAATGTTGATGTAAAGATAATACTAATTATCTAGTAAAGCACAATTCCTAAGAACCTAAGGCTCCTTTAATTATATTTTAAATTTAAATTATCAATTCCTTTTTCAAGCCTTTCATTTTCCAAAATAAAATAACGTGACAGGATGACAACTAATTGAACCGGATGTATGTTTTACTGAAGGCCAGGGAAAAGAAAAGTAGATTTTGTCAAAATATCTAATGTCACATTTGTCATTTCAATATTTGATATTTATATTTATTTTTCCAACTATTTTGCTTAATTTTCATCTATAATCCAAAGAAAATATGTTGAATTAGCAATTAGCATTGACCAGAATGGCTTTCAGTGGCATACAATTTTTAGTCAAAGAAGAACCAAAAGATTCCGATCAAAGTGATGTCGATAGTAATTCCCACACAGAAATTAAAATTAAAGATGAACAAGACTATGATAATCCAGATTTTGTAGAATTAGGCAATGCACCGGATGGTTGTTCAATTAATTCCAGCAACACTGAAGGTGTTGACATTAACGTTGAAAGTGGAGTGAAATTCAATTCTCAGGAATGGACTAAAAATGTACATAATAGTTCGATAAACCCTAGCACTTCAGGTACCGAAACAAATTGTGATAACAGTTCAATGGACACTAGTATCCCCGATGTAGATCCAGATGTAACTACTAAAAATTTACAGCATTTTATGTTAAGTGAAAATTCAGAAGACAGTACTATAGATGGCAATCGAACAGATTTCGATCGGGATTGGACTGAGCATAAAGACGGTTATTTTTCGTGCAAAATTTGCAAAGTTAAATATCCCGATGAGTTTTATTTACTGAACCACTTTAAATCTAGAAGACTAGGAGATAAACGTTACAAATGTTGTGGTTGTGATAAAGTTTTTAGGTAAATTCTTGTCAGTACTCTTCAATATTTAACATAGTTAATTGAAGAACGAAGAATTAAAGATTCATCCTAATTTTCAGAGATAATACACAATTAGGTGTACATTCTAGAAAGCACACCGGCGAGAAGCCCTATTCGTGTTCAGTTTGCGGAAAGAAATTTTCAGTGAATGGAAATTTAAGTAAACACATGAGGATTCATACCGGTGAAAAAAGATTCGAATGTTACACTTGTGAAAAAAAGTTTACTCAATTCGCTCATTTGGAAGATCACATTAAAACTCATTCAGGTATAACCTGCCATTGCGGAATAAAAATTACCACTAAGCAATTTTATGCACTTTTAGGTGACAGGCCATTTGTTTGCGACTTCTGCAACAGCGCTTTCAAGACTAAGGCGAGGCTACACAAGCATAAAAAGTCTCATGAAGACGAACATGCCACCAAAAGATCTGTCCCCTGTCCAATATGCGTAAAAGTAATGAAAAGTACCAAGCAGCTATTAACCCATATGGAAACTCACGATGAAGGTCCCCACAATCCTTTTCCATGCGAAACGTGCGGGAAGACCTACAAAAATTTATTTTCCCTTCACATACACATGAAAACCCATGGTAATGTTAAAGATTTTCAATGTACCTTATGCGATAAGGCATTCAGAAATGCTAGTCATTTAAGAAGACATTCCAATTCACATACAGGTAATTCGGAAATGATACAATTAATCCCTTCAATTTACCTAATTGCGATTATTTTTAGGAGTTCGTCCTTTCTCTTGTAATATATGTCTGCGAGGATTTCCTTCATCGCAAAATTTAAAAAGACACATTATGACGCATACAGGAGAGAAGCCTTTCAGCTGCGATTCGTGCGAGAAAAGCTTCCTTACATTGGAAAACCTCAACAGGCACAAACGAACTCACACCGGCGAAAAACCGTTTCCTTGTAATATATGCGGGAAGTTTTTTGCTCACAGGTACATACAATTAATGCCCCAGAATACCTAATTAAACGTTACCATAATTTCAGCACCACTGCTAAAGAACATATGCGAATTCATACAGGAGATAAACCATTCACTTGTACATTCTGCGATAGAAAATTCGCTCTCAACAAAGCCCTTTACAAGCACATACGCGAACGGCATCCTGAGGATTTTCCGGAATTTAAACGTTTGAATGATCTTCCACCGAACATGAAGAAAGCAAGGGAAAAAATTAAACAAGAGTCTCTATCACTAGAAGAGTCACTAGAACCTAATAAATTAAGTAACGTTAACGTTAGCATAAAGACGGAGCCATTAGATGAAATTAAAAAAGAACTGCCTGATGAGGATGTAAAGTATGAAACTTTTATGGATAGTTTGAAGCTGAGGCCTGTGGATATTACTATTAAAGATGAAATAGACGGTTTAAGTGAATTTGTTGTTAAAAAGGAAAAGGATGATGTTGGATGTAGCTAACATTTAATTTGATTTTATCCAAAATTGTTACTCTTCGATTAAGTTTTATACTTAATTTGTTATTTTTTACATTCTATTTTTTTGAATGATTAATTTATTAGAACTTTGTAGAGAGTCACTGAAAAGTATAATATTAGGCATAATAATGTTATTTATGTATTTAATAAATTATAATTGTTATTGAAAATAATTTTTTTAATTGAATTTAAGCTGTAAAAGTTACGCATTACTCATAACATCAGAGGCCATTAAAATAAAAAGAAGTACAACCTAACCTCAAAATTCTAATTTTTCAGTCAACATGGAAGAGGTAGAAGTTAATTCAAAACCAGAGACTAAAAAGAACGGCAAAAACAAAAAGAAAGTTGTCGCATTCCCTAAAAATAAAAAGAAAAACGATCCAGAATCAGTAATAATAGAAAAACTTGTGGCTAAATACGAAGAGGTGAGTACGTAAAATTTCCAAATAGCTTTCCCTACTTTCTCATTTTACAGATCGATCCTGCCCAAGTAAATAAATTCACCGATTTCCCCTTATCAGCGAAAACTCTCAAAGGTCTTCGCGAATCGGGTTACCACAAACCCACTGAAATACAAAAGGAAACTATTGGGCTCGCTCTTCAAGGTAAAGATATTCTAGGTGCTGCACAGACTGGCTCCGGTAAGACATTGGCATTTCTAATACCAGTCCTAGAAACATTATTCACCAAACAATGGACAAATCTAGATGGACTAGGCGCCTTAGTTATCACCCCTACGAGGGAATTGGCTTATCAAATTTTCGAGGCCTTACGAAACGTTGGACAGCATCATGATTTTTCAGCTGGTTTAATTATAGGCAAGTAATTTAATTTAGTTGGTTCGATAAATGCTTTATTATGAATTGTTTCAGGTGGTAAAGACCTTAAGTTTGAAAGGAATAGAATGGATCAATGTAATATAGTCATATGCACACCGGGCCGTCTTCTCCAACACATGGACCAGAATCCCCTTTTCGATTGCGTTAACATGAAAGTTCTGGTGCTAGACGAAGCAGATAGGTGTTTAGATATGGGTTTCGAACAAACAATGAACGCGATTATAGCTAACTTACCGCCTAAGAGGCAGACCTTGCTGTTTTCGGCGACTCAAACTAAATCCGTTAAAGATTTAGCAAGGCTGAGCTTGAAGGATCCATCGTACATCAGCGTACATGAGCACTCGGAATTCAGCACTCCGAAGGGCCTCTCGCAGAGTTATGTAGTGTGCGAATTGAAAGATAAAATCGCTATTCTCTGGAGTTTTTTGAGGAACCATCCGAACAAGAAAATCATGGTTTTCTTTTCCAGTTGCAAACAAGTTAAATATACTTATGAAATATTTTGCAAGTAAGGTTTCTTATGCTAATATAATTGAGGTTTTTAATTATTATTTTTTTCTAGACTTCGCCCGGGAAGTAGTTTAATGGCGCTGTACGGTACATTACATCAACTGCGTAGAATGGATATTTACGAGAATTTTTGTCGCAAACAGTCCGCTATATTATTCTCGACTGATTTGGCAGCAAGAGGTCTAGATTTTCCGGAAGTTAATTGGGTCGTGCAGGTCGATTGTCCGGAGGATCCAGAAACTTATATTCATCGAGTAGGCAGGACTGCAAGATATCACAGAGGCGGAGAAAGTTTACTCATGCTGTTGCCCAGCGAAGTGAGCATGGTTGATAAATTGAAGGACAAGAAAATTCCCATAGATAAAATAGAGTAAAACCTTTAATATTTATTATTGATTCAATCAATAACCGTTTTGTTTTCAGTATTAATCCTATGAAACTGAACAATCCTGTGAGAAAAATGGAAGCATTTCTGGCTAAAGATCCTTCGTTGAAAGATTCTGCTCAAAGAGCCTTCGTGTCCTACGCCAAAGCAGTGTTTTTAATGAAAGATAAAGAGGTGTTTGATGTACAATCGTTGGATACAGACTCATTTGCCAGGTCCTTGGGGTTGGCTATACCACCTAGAATAAGATTTTTACAAAGGATGAACTCGAGAGCCGAGAAAAAAACAAACAAACCTGTAAATAATAGTCAAAACAAGAAGATATATTTCGATGATAGTGATAACGAAGAGAAATGCGCAAATGACATATCAATTAAGCAAGAATCTGAAGATAGTGGCGTCAGTGAAGATGAAGCTTTGCATAAGAAACCAAATTCCAAACTCTTTCAAGCCTCTGATGAAGATAGCGATAATGATGATATATTACAGGTAAATCCAAGTTTAATCAAATACAAATCAAAGCAAATACTAAATGTTTTATTCTCCATTAGGTTAAACGAAAAGACCACGACATAGAGCTTCCCACGGACAAAGAAATAGCAGAATTAAATATGGGGAGAAACAACAAGAAACCGATTAGTAAAGCGGCCGCGGCGAAAAAGATTTTAAAGAAAAGAATAGTGCCGAATAAAAAAATAACGTTTGATGAAGCCGGAGAAGCGGTGAAGACGAGCAAAGAGAAAAAATCCGAGTTGGCGCTCGAATACGAAAACGAAGATGAAGGTGGTATCGATATTGAAAAGGCGAGGCAAGTGCTTAGGGAAGAGGACAAATTCGATAAGCAACTATTCAAGGAAAAAGTGAAAGCAAAGCACAAGGAGGAAAAAAAGAAATTGAAAGAGAAAAAGAAGAAAGAAAGGGAAGAAGCGCGGGATGATTTTGGAGAAGATGAATCAGATGATGAACCGGATCTTTCGTGGTTACCTAATCCTGATGAAGTTTATGGAGAAAAAACTGAAGAGGAAATTGAGCAACTAAATGAAGAAGTGCTGGGTAAAAATACTGTGAAATCTAAAAAAACGGATGAGAACAAAATAAAAAAGTAGGTTTTTTTTTAGAATGTTTGTTGGAATATTAATTAATGACAATATATTTTTAAGGGGTAAAAAGAGGAAGGCAGAAGGTGAAGTAAACAATGTCAAGAAGCAGAAATTAAAGGAAATCAGTTCGTCGCTTTCTGTTAATGAAGCCGAAGAATTAGCGATGTTATTGTTAAAAAATAAGTAAAAAATTATTATATATTAACAATTTTATATTGTTTTAAACTTAACCATAACCAATTCCAGCACCTACTCTAGTTCCATTTTTATTACAAATTCTAACAGTTACTTCATACCCAGTCTTTAGGATTTCTTAATACTTCTAATAAAGCACCTTCCGGTGAATTTTCCTTAGGTTCGTGCATGTATTCCCATCTCTAAAAATAAATTTAATTGTATGATATACAAATCAACTTATTTAGTAGCTAAAAAACTTACGGCAGTCAAAGGCAACGACATTAAAATACTTTCATAACGAGCCCCTGGTGTGTAAAGACCAAACTTTGTACCCCTGTCGTATATAAGATTAAACTCGACGTATCTACCCCTTCTCAGTAATTGCCATTCTCTTTCAATCTTCGAATAAGAGGCTATTTTGTGTCGTTGAACTGGAAATAAAACAATTTAGCATATCACAATAAAATCAACTTGAATAGTACCTAAAGGAATGTAAGAGGGTATCACAGCTCTCGCGCAGTCTCTAACAAACTCAAAGCATTGCTCTTGACTGGGCTCATCTAAATCATCGAAGAAAATCCCACCGACTCCTCTTCTTTCTCCTCTATGAGGTATATTAAAATAATCGTCACACCACTTCTTGAATCTAGGATAATAGGATTTGTCATGTCTGTCGCAAGTGGTCTTTAATGTTTGATGGAAATGTACAGCATCTGCTCTATTTAGGTAGTACGGAGTCAAATCAGTCCCACCTCCGAACCACCACTGAACCTCATCGCCGCTTTTAACCTCGAAATATCTGTAGTTGAAATGTATGGTAGGCACCATCGGGTTCACCGGGTGTATTACAGCGCTTATACCCGCAGCGAAGAACGGAAGATCCCCGTTTTCCAACTTCTTACCTAAAAACAGAGTATTTTAAGGTACATAAGGAATGTTTGTCGCAATGAAAAATACCTCTAGATCGCATCTGGGCCACAGCTCCAGGCGGTAAGTTCCCGGATACGACCGAAATATTAACACCGGCTTTCTCGAACACTTTGCCGTCTTGCAGTACGCAGGTAACACCTCCTCCGCCTTCCTTTCTCTCCCAACGATCGACGATGAATTTGTTACAGTCTTCTTCGGCTTCCAGGGCTCGGCAGAAATCCTTTTGCACCCTGAGTATCATCAATTCCATCTTGGATTTCATGTCATTAGGGCTCGAAGAGAGTTTGTCGAGAGGCGTGATGGGCAAAGCCATGAATTCGTCAGTGTCGATGTTCGATTTAGATTTGCTCGATAGAAACGCCACGGCTCCCGTGAAAACGGGGCTGTATTTCCTGAATGAAATATGTTGTTAAGAGTGTAATACGTAAGTACTTAACCTTAAAAAAACTTACCGTAATTTAGCGAATTTACCTTCATGTTGGTAATATAATAGTGTGCAATTTTTTACGAATACTTTGAAGAACATGTTAGTTAATTAAAAATGCATAATAACGCAAATAAAATTTAAATATTTTCGAAATTAGGAACCACAATCAGCTGTTGTCGAGTTGTAATGTTTGGTTTTTGTAACAGGTAGAAGTATCACATATTTCTAATCTAATAACATATTCTCATCTCTTTCTGGCGTTAGCGATAAACAATGAAACCATATGGTGATATTGTTTAATTTAAATCCCAAGCAACATGTGGAATTTTTTTTGTGTCATATCGATCTGTCAGGATCTGTCAAGGTACGGCGAGTGTAGTAGATAAACGCAGCTAACGTCAGGGTGTTCCTATCTGGCCAATCCTTGTCGAAGGGGGTGTATTCCGATGTTTATTTTGCGCGAAACAATAGTGGTGCAAATTTCGGCTTGCGCTCTGCGTTAAGGCCCTTTAGCGCAGCATTGGAAACGGTGCGAAATCAGTGCGGATATTCGGATATCGACATTTTTGCGAAGTAACCTAAAGTCGGTGAGAACGGCAAGAGAGGCGGGCCGTCGCGACGCTTCTCTTCTGATCGCGTTTGCTGGAAGTCCGGGTTTTCCGAAGCGCATTGTATACATTCCCTACTAAAGCGCGACGTCGTCGACGTAAAGCCGTACTTTAGTCGATATTTTTGCTGCAGGATGGTGTAATCTCGCAGGTTGGCTGGGAATTTTTTTGAAAACCACCGAATTCTTCGCGATTGAAAATCAGTTTTTACATCGGTACGTTCGACCGAAGTATGGTGTGATGAGGCGTGAAAAGGACGACAGACGTGAAGTTATGAAGAAGTTCACATTCAAAGGCGTTTTGGACAATTTTCGCAACTCCGTTGCTCAACCACCCAGGCAGGACCAGGAGATCCAGGAAACTCTTAGACCCGAACATTTCCAAGTCAAAAGGGTAAGTCCTAATTTTTTTTTCCTTGAAATTTTTACCCCTATTCAAAAAGTTTTTTACCACAACAATTTTATGAATACATCTACCTATTTACTTCTTATTTAATTATTAACCAATAATAACTACATTGTCTAATGTACATGTTCCTATTTACCTAATAAATAATTTGTACCACATTCAGAATTAATAATATCGATTAAAAAATAATTATCGTAAATTGGAACATGAACGATTACCGTTTGAAAATTCATTAATATTATTTGGTATGAAATATATTTTTACTACCTACATATTTGGTTAATAGCAAAATGTTTTAATTATTTTAAACATCTATAATATTTGCACGGCTAATTTTACAGGTAGTATGCAAAACAGGTATTTACCCACGGTAAAATTAAAATGAAATAATCAATAAAGCGGGAGTATGAACATTATTATTTAAAATTATCTAACATTTTTAAGTATCTACATAATTCGATAAGGCGAATAAATTTACCTGCGAGGAAGGTTCTTATTAAAAATTTTCTTTTTCGAATCGTAACCGATTCGTTCCAATAATTTTATTTCTAATAAAATCAAATGTTTCAGTAAAGCAAGCAAAGAAAGCATATAGAAACTCCATGAAAGCCGGAAGAAAGTCAATAACTCCTCCGGGAAATGTAAATACTACGGGTATTATTATTATTTGTATAAAAATATGAAAAAACCAATAACCAATGAATATTGAGAGAAAGGAAAGGAATATCAATAAAATTCGGTGTAAAGTAAATGAAACGCAATATGCGACGAATTTATCTCAGTTTTTCCTAAAATTCCAATTACCAGTAATAGACTTTATGATTGAGTCGGCATCGATAGTACATGATTTGGCAAATTGCCATTCCAAACTACACAATCACTCGTTAAAAAAGTTGTTGCATTTGGGAACCTAGCAAATTAGATTTCTCCCATCAATTGAAGATAAACATACTGTAGCTCCGTCAAAACTGTTAAAAGTTCCAACTTTTAAAAAAGTTGGACTCTTATTTAATAAAAAACTTTATATAGACTCGATATAAAGTTACATTTACTCGGTAACTCTACAGTTCATTTAAGTTAGTTACGACCAAGCAAATGATCTGTTAAAAAATTTAGCTTCGAGGGTGTACTTATACTGCTAATAATTTTGCCTTCCCCCTTACTAATCCTTATTTACCCTTATTTCTCTTAAATCTTAAAGTGTATACACATCCTTGTTAGTCCTGCTGCAGAGAGCGGAATAAAGAGAGGGTGCATACCATACGACTCGGGCGTAATATAACAGATAACATCGTAAAATGTGTCTTGTATACGTTAAAACGGTAGGTGGAAAAAATATCAAATAAATATACAATTTTAATAACCTTGGTTACGTTCCGTTGCCGTACTGATAACGAAATAATACACGACCGGCTTTTGTGGTGGCTTTTTTTATTTCGTCGAACGATATCTCTGCATTAGAAGCGGGGAGTGCAAGTTTCGATTTCGTGCGTTCGTATCGTATATCGCATTCTAAAAATACGAATAGTACGAAAACAATTAAGTATTGCAGCTAGTCTAGATTTGCCCGAGACAAATAGTTCCTATAAATTCGATAAACCCACCCGATAATAAGCCTTGCCGAGAAAAATATTGTACACAATCGAATTGTGTGTTTTAATGGGTCCAATTAATGCCCAGATTATTCAAATGCTTCGAATATCCAGGAAAGTAAGATATAGCGAAGTCGATAACGCGCGTTAATTAACAATTCGCCGATTATTTTTTCCGGTTATTTCGGTATTTCGAGCGCCGATAACCATTGTGAGATGTTGAATCAATGAATGACCGCACCGAATTGAATTTTTATTGTACGTTTGACCTCAGTCGTCGCTGTGCAACCTATAAATCCGACAAATCGTGGGATGTTGTTTTTATTTTACCGGGTCCACCAGGAATGCTTGTAATTTTTAATTATTTTTAACGAGTTTTAACTCTGTGAATCAATTGACTATGCAATTTGCCAACGCTATTCCTGCGAGGTATGAATATTTTGGGTGCTATAATAGCGTGTGGCCTAGTTTGCCTGTTTAATATAGGGTGTGATCCGCTTCGAAATAATGGAGTTTTCGTCATCTTTTGTTGTTTTTCCAATTTTCTTCTATTGCTTGATACGCACAAATTGCGAACCATTAGAGGAAAGGATCAAAACTTTATTGTACACCATTCGCTATAGCTTACCGATTCCCCGAAGGAAACTCGCGATTTTCAATCTGCTTTTGACCCGCCAGTGCGGACGCCGTAAATTGGCTGTTACAAGACATATTTCAAAAGTTTGACGTTATTAGGACGAATGGAAGGATAGAATGATATATCTTTCTGGCGTTATACGCAACAGATTAATTCAAAACTCGGCTTATAACTCGAGATATAAAAAGGTTTCCGATTCCTTTGATGTACAAGGTACATCTCGATTTTCTTATTAAAATTCGCTCGAATCGATCTTCGACCCGGCGACTTTTTTCGTCGAATTAAACCCATCCGGCGGGATTGAATCGAGATTAACCCGCTGGTGTAATAAATCATGGTGGAGATTTTGAGTCTGGACAAATCCGACCTCGGCCGGACCTTTTTCGAATCGAATCCATTCGGTTAGGCTGCTTACGGAGGAGCTACGCTCTCTATCGAAAATAATGTTTATTCCTACCTATTTGGGCAAGGAACAGGAGTCGCATTGGTACCGGCTATCGCGAAATTGGAGATTACATTTTGTGACAGATCCGATTTAGATTTTCGTTACAAATGGGAACCTCATTCGGACAAAAAGAATGAAACACCGGTTCAATGTGATCGACATCATATTGACCTACATTTTCGCAACACCTCCTTTACGATTGAATATTAGGTGCATTCTTCGAATTATTCATTGAGCCGAATTTTTAATTCGTCGTAAGCACGCGAGCCGCGCGGGGCGCCCGTACACAGCTCCGTCGCGACGCTCTATCTACGGGAATCCTTAATTAAAAAAGATTAATCGTACAGCGATGTGGGGATTAGGGGGCGCGCGGGGCCGGAGAGGAGGGCGCATTACCATGTAATTTCGCGGCGTTGTATGCGAAGCGTCGAGACGGCGTCGCTGTAGAGACGTCGTCGCCATCGTTGTAGGTGGCGGCGGATGACCGTTTAAAACGTGCTCGCCGAAAATTCGCGTGATGCAGCCCATAAAAAGGCAGGGAAGTTATTCAATGACCTCTTTTGATCTTTCGCACCGGGCGAGATTATCGAGCAAAAAATTTTCCTATCTTCTTAAAATAACCTCGAATAAAACGTACAATTTTACTATATCCCACTAAATAAATAAATAAGGGAAGAGGAATAAAATGTCGCTTTGGGTAACAACCGGAGTCCTCTAATTGGCCTGATGCATCTTAATTGAAATTAGATTCCACTTAGTACCGAAGTGGACAATGGAGAAGTGGAGAGAGATATCTTGGCGATGGAAATGCACTTCAGAATTGAGTATAATTAATGGAGGAATGGAATCCACCGAACGTTCGAGTCTTTTATTTAGATCTCTCATGGTCGAACGAACCAAAATCGGAATTTATACGTATTGATTAATTCGGTTTCGTATCGATGAGCATAAGTACAGCAAGGTATGATGAACGTTTCCAATACGATTATTAATTAATTAAAGGGGCAGAGAATGTAGGTACGCTACATTATTACCATATTTCACCAGAATATTAAAATCATTGAAAAAAAATCTATTTACAAGTGCACCGCTTGTCGAGAATTGCTTTTAAGTAGGTAGGTAAATTTTATATTTTGTAATAAAGTGCAAAGTTTGCATCAAATCGTGTAGAGAAAATTGAAAAAGTTTCAAGAGACTTGTGCTTTCTCTAACTGCCTATATACATTCGAAACAAATTGGGAAAAGTTCATAAATTTTACTATTTTTAAATTGGCTGTACTCTAGGCCAAACGTCTGTTACATTGTATATGTGACAGGTAATTTATTTTATAGATTATACTTTAGAAAATCCGGAAAAATGTATCTAATTCTGCAATTTCCTTGAATTTTACTTTAAGTTTTCCTAAGTGGGAAATTATAAGTACACTCATCTCTATACATCATTTATCTAAAAATGTTTCTAACGATTAAATGCAACTGAAATAATTCAATTTGAAGTTTAGTTTAGTCACCCGGTGTACCTAATATGCTGGAAATTCCATTGTTTTATAAAATACCGAACATCCTTTCTGATGAAAATCCTTTTTTTTTAATCTCTCCCTGACAAAGGTTCGTCGCTCGGCTGCCGTGCTCTATCGCATTTATGACGAAAATA